GAGCAGAAGACGGCACAGAGCGCAGAGTCTCCTGAACTCAGATCCTATATCCTCCCTTTTCAAACAAAAAGCAGAGCGTGTGCACACTCTTCAGCCCCTGCTTTGTCCATGTAGTATTTTTCTGCTTCAGACACAAAGAGTACCTTCATTCCTCTACACGGAGGCAGAGAACCCCTGCAAAATCATTTTCAGAGTTTTTTTTAACATGTTAGTGTAAGGGAGATCGATTTCTAATGTGATAAAATAAATGACATGCACGATGCCACTCGCCTGTGCATTTTCCCAAGGGGAGCGCCAATAGGAAGGACTGGTGCCCCAGAAGCTGGGGGGCTAAGTCTGGAACCCCTTAGCAGGGTGATGGCCACCGCAGAAGGGTGTGGGGAAGGCCTCTGGAGAGGGTGGTGCCGGTGTCACGTTCTGCCGGTGCCCCAGGCGAAAGGAGGGGGCGCCTGGGTGGGTGAGGTCAGCTGGCGGGAGGACGGCCTGTGGTGAGTGGGGTCAAGGAGTGGGCAGGGTCAGAGGGGAGGACAGCCTGTGGGTGGGTGGGGTCAGGAGGTGAGTGGGGTCAGGGCTGGGGAGCACAGTCTGGGTGGGTGGGATCACGGGTTGGGTGCATGGCGTCTGGGATGCTCTGACTCTGCTTCCATGTCGAAAGCCTGGGATGAGTGGCAGTGTTAGATGGGTGATTAATGGTTAAGAGCTCAGCTCCTGGCACGTGGAGATGTCACCAGCGGCGCCATTGAGAGCTGCACAAGGAGGAAGATGAGGAAGAAGGTTGGGTAGAAAATTAAGGAAAGAGAGGGCTTTTCAGGGGTTTGTTTATAATTATTTTTTTAATGAGAGACACTTGGTTGTGTTTACGTGCAGAAGGAGAGGATCCAGTCCAAAAATTAAACGGAATCACCATATGATCCAGCAACGCCACTGCTGGGTGTACACTGAGAGGGATTGAAAATAGGGTCTTGAAGAGATATTGGTACACCGTGTTCACGGCAGCGTTGTTCACAGTAGCCAAAAGGTGGAAACGACCCAAGTGTCCATCAAGGGATGAAAGGATAAACACAATGTGGTCCATCCATACAACGGAATATTCTTCAGCCTTAAAAAGGAAGGAGGAGGCAGCCCCTTGGCTGAATGGTTAAGTTCGTGCGCTCCCCTTCATTGGCCCAGGGTTTCACCGGTTTGGATCCTGGGTGCCGACATAGCACCACTCATCAAGCTATGCTGAGGCAGCGTCCCACACAGCAGAGGCAGACTGACCTACAACTAGAATATACAACTACGTACTGGGGGCCTTTGAAGAGAAGAGAAAAAAGAGATTGGCAACAGATGATGTTAGCTCAGGGGTCTTTAAAAAAAAAAAAAAGGAAGGAAATCCTGTCAAGGGTACAGCCTGGGTGAATCTTGAGGACATTATGCTCAATGAGTGAGATAAGCCAGTCACAAAAGGACAAACACTGTAGGATTCCATTTATATGAGGGACCTAGAGCAGTCAGATTCATAGACAGAAGGTGGAAGGGTGGGTGCCAGGGGCTGGGGGCTGGAGTGGCAGAGAGTTAGTGGGGACAGAGTTTCGGTTTGAGAAGATGAAAGAGCTCTGGAGATGGATGGTGGTGATGGCCGCACAACAATGTGAATGTGCTTCATGCCACTGAACTGGACACTTAAAAGTGGTTAAGATGGCAAATTTTATGTGTACATTTTACAAAAACAAAAAAATTGAAAAGAAGAACCAGTAGACAGAAGAGAGGGGAGCTGCAAGCCCAGGAGATGAGAAAGATGCCTGGGGGCCGGGGCTGGAGTCCCAAGGGGGCCGCCGGAGAGGAGGGGGCATCAGGACAGGGGTGGGGGTGATTCTGGGCACAGGGTGCCAGTCTGGAGGTGGCAGGCTTGAGGCCTTCGCCCCCAGAGGCCTGGCTTCCCAGGGAAGTGGGGGACCAGGTAATCTGCTGAGAGTGCAGGAGCAGGGGCAGCCCCACTGGGCTGGTGCTGGACTCCAGGGACCCTCAGGCACTCTACTGGTGGGGCTTGGGGGGAGCGAGAGAAGATGAGACTCCCCAGGGTTGATGTGGACAGGGCCGAGGGTGTGCAAGGACTGGAGAAAATGAACCCTGAGGGATTCCTGGAGCGTGGACGTGTGGAAGGGAGTTGGGAGGCCGGGGAGGAAGCAGGGGTGCAGGCTGGATAGATGAACGATGCGGGCCTGCATGCCTAAAGGAATTGACAGATGAGCTTCTGACACCCTGAGGTGTCTCCTCACAGGCCCTGGGGATGCCTGGGTTGCAGGGCAGTGGGCCCTCCAAGGCTGCCGGGAACCTGCTCCCTCTGGCCACCCCTCCCGCATCTGCCTGATTCTCGGTGCTGGATTCCAGGGAAGAAAGGTGCTTGTGCCTCATTACAAACCCCAGGGAGCGGCCTGCCTGCCGGTCACTGTTGGACCCCCGGAAGCGGAGACCCCAGGAGACAGCCCTCATGGCCCCCTGCCCACACTGGGAGGAGGGTCTGGCCTCTGCTCTAAGGAGGAAGCCCCTCCCTCTGCACCCAGAGGCAGAGAGGGTGGAAGGAGCCACACAGCTCCCCGAGGAAAGCAAGGCTTTGGTCCCCCCACCCCCACCATCTGCCCCTCTGCCGGGGCAGGAGAGAGTGTGGACAGCCCGTGTGCCCTGTCCACAACTGGCACCGAGGTCTGCGCCCAAGGCTGCTGCTGCCAGGAAGAGCAAGGTGACCTACTCAACTCAGCCGGAGAGAGGCCAGGCCTGGGGGAGGGGACCCAGCCCAGAAGTGTCCACAGAGCCACCCACAGGAGCTGGCCCGGCTGAGCGGGACAAGGTAGGCAAGGCCAGGCCCACGCTGTGCAGGGTAGGGGGGCAGGGAGCTGAGGCCCCGGGCTGCCCCGGAAGGGCATCTCTGGGTGTGGGCAAGGCTGAGGCGAAAGCCCTGGCCTAGAAGGGCGCTGAGCCAGGGCAGAGGTCATTCAGGATGAGGTTCTAAAGTGGGCCTCTGCTGCCCCCGGGACCACTTGCCCTCGGCCCTGGCCCTAGGGGGTCTGAGGAAGTCTGCAGGCGTGCCCTTGTCCTGGAAGCCTGGGGTCAGAGAGGTGCCACCAGTGGACATGTTTTTGGACCAGAACGTCTGACACGGCCTGGGTGGGGAGGGGGTGGGTGCACATCCCCCACCTGAGGGCGGGGCCCTCGGAGCCCAGGTGTCTGCTGTCAGGATGTCAGGACAGGGCTGAGCTCCCCAGCCTCACCAGGCCTCCATCACACCTGTGGGCCACCAACCTGGCCCAGCCGTGTGGCTGCATCTCCATGGCCAGACCAGACCAGTCCCCAGCCCCTTTCCTGGGGTGGGGCAAAGGGAGCAGTTGGGGGGAGCGTGGCGAGGGTGCAGCCTTGGGGGCGGGGGAGGGGCAGTGGTCCTTGTCAGCACAGCACCAATGCAAACACCCCAACCCCTGGAGCTGCTGAGGGTGGATGCCTTTGCACTTAATTTGACTTAGTGAACCCAGCGGGGCTATGGTTATCTCCAGGTGGTGCTCACATGGAGCTCGGGCCTGGGCTGGGCCGCTGGCCCCTGGGCCGAGGGAGAGCTGGGCCCGTAGGGGGCAGGCGTCAGGTGGAGACCCCTGCTCCCTGAGTCCTGGGAACCCCGTGGGCCCTTCCTGGGAGCAGCTCCTGTGACCCCCGATGGAAGGACCTGTAGGAGGAGGCCAGGTCTGCTGGGGGCGGCTGTAGACACAGGTCTGAGGAGTAAAGAGGGTGGGTCCAGGGCCGGGAGGCCACCTGGGTGAAACCCTGACTGGACAGTGACTTTGGCGGCCGGAATAGGTCCAGGGCTTCCCAGCATCTCATTCTTCACAGTCTCTGGTCTGCATAGGAGGAAAGGGTGCCCCCAGGGACAGAGCTGGGGGGCTGCCAAGCCGGCCTGAGCAGCCCAGGCCTCTCACACAAGAACCACTGGCAGAGGGTGGCGCTGAGGGAGGGAGCTCCCAGTGGCCCCCTGCCGGGAGCCACCCACCAGTCAGCTAAGCCTCTACCCAAGGACAACGGTCCAGGAGGGAGATGAGGGAAGGCACGATGGACCCTCAGAAGATGGCGGTTGGCCGCTCCTGATCCTACTCATGCTACTGATCTCAGCAGTATTGCTCTCGCTGTTCTTTTTCTGTACATGGGATATCTTGGGGAAAATCTCTCCATGCAGGGGAAAGAGGCTGATGCAACCTGGCCTTCTAGGGAGGGTTCAGGGAACAGCAGCCTGGAGGGCAAACACGTGCTGACCCCTCCTGGAGACACGGTGAGGGAATTTGGACAGCCCTCCAGGAGGAAGACTTCCAGTAATCAGCCTCAAAGGAGAACATTCCCTCCTCAGGCCCTTCTAGGAGGTAGAGATTATCCTAGGCCTCTTAGGACGGGAGGTAAATGGTGGCACCCACCCAGAAGCAAAGATATGCAAAAGGTACACTCTCCTAAAACAACTCATAACCCTGATAAAGTTGCAGAAAAATATCATAATATATTGACACAGAGGAACTGAGATTATGATGAGGATTGGGAACCCTATAAAATAGTTAATGGTGAAAGAGAAACCCCAAGCACTGTGCCTGTGTGCCTTTCGATCAGACGGAGCTGGGGGCCTGTGTGTATTTGGTTCCCTTACGCTTTGCAATACTTCTGCTTTCATTACTACGGGAATAAAGGTAGAGGCTTAGGGCCATTCGACTCATGGGGAACTGAATCTGGACGTTACACCCCATTTTGCAATCAGTCTTAGACATCTAGACGCCTAGTAGACATATAGAAAAGGTCAATATCTATATTTAATAAAGGCTGCTTACTTCTCACAGACATACTGTGCTAATATTATAACAAGATATGCTTATGTACACATTTTGTTTGCCAAAATTATGTACTGAGACAATTCCATGAAATCATAAACACGTGACCTAGACCCTATATAAGTGCTTGAATGCTTTGAATAAATCAGACTTGGAAACCTCACTTCCAGTCTCACCTTGTCTTCTTTCTTTGCCGATGCCATTCATCCCTCAGGAAACCTGGACTTGGCTGGAGCTGGACTCCGGCAGCCCCCCAGGCGGCTCCCCCCAGCCTTGGACAGCCCGGCCCAAAGAGCACTCCCCAGGGCAGGGAGGTCCCGGGACAGGGAAGCCGTGAGAGAAATGACAGCAGGAAGGCCTCTCTGAGGAGGTGACATCTGAGCAAATGAGGGGATGAGCCGTGTGGACATCAGCGGGATCAGCATTCCAGGCAGAGGGAACAGCAAGGACAAAGGCCTGAGGTGGGAGCGAGAGCAGCCAGGGGGGCAGCGGGAGCACTGGTGGGAGGGGGGAAGCGTGGTGGGGGTGTTTATTGTGCTTTTATTTAAAATAGTCTTAAGAGGCCCTGGACCACCAGTGAGGCTGACGCAGGGTTGAAGGTGCCTGGTCAGCGGTCTGCAGCTGGAGGGTCTATAACGCCCAGCTCCAGTGGCTGTGTGGCCTGGGCCAGAATCCCACAGGGTCCAGACTTGGGACAGGGGACCATCAGGTGCAGCCCCAGCCCAGGGCCAGGCTCTCTGGCCCCCACTGCAGGGCTGAGGCACCAAGGCCAGCAAGCCAGGCTGTGGCGGGGGTTGGGGGGAGCAGCACAGGTAGACAGCACACCCCAAGGCCAACCACAATGACTTCCCCTCCCCCTGGGGCCCCTGAAGCTGGAGAGGGAAGTGGCCGTCGTCCGTCCCTGGCCTGGCGCCTGGCGTGGGGAACAGGGTGAGACCCATTGTTTGAGGCTGGAGCTGGGAGGGGCCGGGGCTCAGGGGCCTCAAGGAAGCCCCTGGCAATGTGTCTTGTGCCACTTCCTCCAGATCCAGAGCAGAGCAAGGACCCGAGCAAGCGAGCGAGCAGACCAGGCAGCCCCCAGCGGGATGAAGGCGCTCACGGCTGTCCTGTTGGCCCTGCTGTTGTGCCGGCAGCCAGGTACTTGGGGCTGGGGCATCCCTGCAGCAAGGGGGACAGCCTAGTCAGGGCCCATGGGGACCCCCAGGGACCCTCAGCCTGGGGGCAAGACAGGCTTGGGGAAAAGGAGGGGTGAGGCTGGTGTCTAAGGCCAGAGGGAGGTGGATGGGGGTTGTCCTGGGCTCGCACAGACCCCCACACCTCTGCAGTGTCCCACCAGCCAGGCTCCCCTCCCCACTCCAGCCCCAGGCTTGGCCTTTTCAGGTTTGAGTTTCCCTCTCCTCTCCCAGCCTCAGTTTCCTCTTCTATAGATGGGCAGGCCATCCTGAGGGTTTACTGTGGGGGAGGGGGTGGGGGAAGGAGCTGCGGGACGGAGCTGCTGTAAAGGGCCAGCCACAGCAGCTGGTGTTGTTAAGGACAATGCGGACCCAGACAGCAACCTCACAGCTTGGGAGGCGGCAGGACAGAGTGGGGAGGAAGAGGACAGAGGGGTGGGGGAAAGGACAGATGGAGGCGCTGGGGGCGTGGCACTGGGCCCCGAGCGTGTGTCCTCTGTATCCGGGCAGCGGAGGTTTACAGACGTCCCTGCGCGGCCAGGGAGTGGGCAGGTGCAGGACGAGGAGGATGAAGACACGGACCTTGAGGTGGAGGACTTTGAGGACAACGAGGACGAGGACGAGGACGAGGAGGAGGCCAGCATGACTGCAGGCAGCAGGGGCACAGGTACCCTCCGTCCTACCCCAGACTGCGGGTCCCTCTTTTCAAGATCTCATGTGTGATGCTGGCGTAATGGGGAACCGATCAAAGAAAGGCCTGGCCTGTGAGCCTGCCTTCCAGACGGTCGGGGGCTCGGAGGAGAGGAGGGATTCTTCTTCATCCTTCACCTCTCACCCTGACTGGGACCCTCAATTGCCATCGAGAGTAGGGAGCCTAGACAAGGAGCCACTACGGGGAGGGCAAGGGTGCCAGGGCGGAGAGGCTGAATAGGAGTTCACCAAGCAGAGAGAGGCATAGCGGAGCCCCAGGATGCCGAAACCAGCGATGGCCTGGGTGTTGAGCTCAGTTCAGAGACACATGAGCAGTCTGCCCCTGGTGGGGCAGGGAGGGGAAGGCAGGCGGCCCCAGGGGCAATACCGGCTGGGCAGGCCTTGAGGGGGATCAGCTGAGAAGGCGGAGGTGGGCAGGAAGCAGGAGGAGACCTGGAGGGACAGGGCGGGCACCAGCACAGGCCCGGGGGGCTGGGAGGGCTCTGGGGCCGCCCACCCTGAGCCCTGTGCCGCCAGCGCTGCTGCGCTGCTACTCCTGCCAGGCCCTGCACGGCGAGGAGCGCTGCAACCAGACGCAGAGCTGCATCCTCAGGCAGGCTTTCTGCAAGACCCTCCTCTCCCACGGGAACACGGGTGAGCAGGCGCCCGGGGCCGCCAGTGGGGGGAGCCACACAGCCCTGTGAGGGGCCCCGTCCCTGCCTGGCCCTCAGTGAGACTCACCCTTTCTCCATCGCCCGCCCCCACTAGAGTTGGGTCCCCTGACCACCTACTCAGCATGGTGTGCGGACATGTGTCAACCCATCAACAAGACAGTGGAAGAGACTGTGATAACCATGACCTGCTGCCAGTCCAACCTGTGCAACGTCCCACCCTGGCAGGACCCACTGGGCAGGGGGGCAGGCAGCCCCCAGGGTAGCCCCACAACTGTGGCTCCCGCCCTTCTGCTGGGCCTCCTTGCCAGCCGTCAGGCAATGGGGTCCTGAATGCGGTGGTCCACCCCCAGCCCAGCCCAGCTTATAGCCTGGCTGGTCAGCACTCTGTCCAGTGCCTTCCCCTCCCACCGCCCCCATCTCTGGAGAATAAACATGGAGTGTCTTTAATGATCTGGCCAGCACTGGCTCCTCCCAGCCCCACCTGCATTTCCCCGTCTGGCATTCTTAGCCTCCTCTCCCCACTGCCTCTGTGGGGCGGGATGGCCAGCACCTGGGCCTCTGGTCCAGGCCCCAGCCACTCACAGGTGGGTCCACAGAGCCGCAGGCAGAGAAGACACCCACCATATGACGGGGGAGCCCACCCCATTCTCTCCCCAGCTTCCTACCCAGGCGATACCTCCATCCCCGTGACGGCCACCTGGGTGGAGCTTTGCCCTCTCCCAGGATGCCTCCCAGCCTGCCCGGACGAGAGGCTGTGGGGGGAGTCTTTCCTGGCCCGTGGGAGGAAGACAAGGGAGGCCACGGGTGTCGGGTGGGGTCGGGGGGCAGTTAACGCAGGGCAGCTGCGAGAGAAGGAGAGAAGGCAGGGAGGTGGGAAGCTCAGCTGAGACTCTCGAGCCAGCTGCACAGCCTGCTGGGCATGGAGAGGGGGCTCGGGTGGGGCAGGGAGAGGCGGAACGGGCCTCTGCGTTTCTGAGGAGAAGAGGAGTGGGCAGTGGGAGGGGCTGCGTAGAAGAACCTGTGGGTCCCCAGCTTCTGCCCTGGCTGGGCTGGTGCCACTGGCTGCTGGGCACTTGGCCTTCTTGACTGGTGCCAAGATAGAGCCCTGGGATGGGAGGGAGGAGGCCGGGGCCTCAGTTTCCCCATCCAAGCAGAACAAGGCTTAGAGCACCTCTAGATCCCCAACAGCCCAACATCCCCTGGTTTGGGAAGCCCAGAACTCTCTCCCGCCCGCCAAGCGTCCCCACAGGCAGAGCAGCCTCCCACTCTCCCCTCTCCCCTTTCCTTATTAATGGAAACCTCGAGGCCTAGTGGGAGCGGCCAAGTCCCTTAGGTGGAGGTGACTTGTCTGTCTTCTTCCCTTTCCTCATTCCTGCTGGCTGCTGGAGCTCAGCAGCCCCCTTGCACCATGAGGTAGCACACTGAGAATGGCGGGGCAGCATGGAGGAAGGGGCCTGGATGGCTGATGACCGGCAGCCATTATGCCAGCCCTGCACCGCCTACCTCAGGACTCCTTTACCCGGGAGGGAAATAAACTTCTGCCCTGTTGAAGCTAGTTATTCTGGCTTTTCCTGTCACTTGCATTTTCACACACACACTCGCTCATTCACAGTACTCCCACTCATGCACACACGCATGGACACACTCACACACACAGCCCTTCTGAAGCACAGCATATAAGAGCAGAGCTGGGGGTCACGCTACCTGGGTTCAAAGGTTAGGCCGAGCTCTCCAGCACCACGACCCAGCGAGCCCTCCCTGCCAGCTGCTTTCCCAAGCCACTAAGCATGGTGTCAGGAGGGCCTTCCCCGCAGGCTGGGCTGCAGCGAGAACCGACTGAAGTGCTGCAGGCGCTTATAGCCCGTGCCTGGCAGAGAGCAGGCACCCAGCAGACATCAGTGACTGCTGTCAACATGACACTGGCGGCCTGGCTCCTGTGCCCTCTATGTGAGTGTGTGCACGTGTGCGTGTGCACAGATGCAAAACCTCCACGTGAGTCCCTGACCATCAAAAGAAATCTCATTAGCCCCGCGCACCCTCCTTAGAAACACTGGGCGTGTCACCTGCATCCACAGAATTCTTCCTTCAACCCCCTGCCTTAGAGCCTGAGAGGTCAGAGGGCACAGACCCCCCCCCACATCCCTCTGCAGCTGACCCTCTTTCAAGGCTCTTGGCACCAAGTGGGAGCTGGGGTGCAGGCTCAGTCTGAAGCCACCACCTGTGGGGCCTGCCCTGGCCTGGGGCCCCTGCTTTGGCCACAGCCTCTTCTCTGGGGTCCTGGGGCTCTGCCAGCAGCTGGGCCCCCATTCCCACCCCTGGGGAAGCAGAAAGCACAGCCGTGATTCCTCACTGGGGCCCGAACCTGCCTCTGCCCAAGGTGCAGGAGGAGGCACCTGGCACTTTGATGTGAGCGAGGACCTGATGTGGGGCAGAGAAGCCCACCTGCTGGGCGCCCCAGCCCAAAACACTGCCCCCGCCCAGCCACCCCAACAAGCTCACTGTGCGGCACCCAATAGCCACCTGACTGAGGAGACACTGCAGCCCAGACTCGAGCCTCCGGCTCAAGGTCATGCAGCTGGGTGGTGGCAAGTCCAGGATCCAGTCCCCGGGCTTCGTGCCCACAGCAGCTACCTTCCCAGGGGCCTCAAGCCAGGTGGGCAGCGGCGTTGGGAGGCCTGAGCCGGAGGCTGGAGGGGCTGGATGGTGGCCAAGGCCCAGCTGGATGCCCAGGCTGAGTCCAGTCTAAGGTGCCAGGGGTCAGTCACAGCCAGGCCTTGTCACGGAGCCCAAAGCACAAGGCTGGTCCCAAGAAGGAGAGTGTCCAGCAGGGCCACTCACCCTGCAGCCCAGGCAGCTCCTCTGCAGCCACCCGGGAGCCGGCCAGGGATGGGGTCCGTCTGGGTCACCGAATCTGTGTCCCATGCTGCCGTAACAAATGACCACAAACTTAGTGGCTTCAAACAACACAAATGTGTTATCTTACAATTCTGGAGATCGGAAGTCTAAAATGAGGGTATCAGCAGAGCTGCGTTCCTTTTGGAGTCTGCTATGGTCAATTTCGTGTGGCAGCCTGACTGGGCTCAGAGATGCCCACATTTCTGGCCTTGGTGAGCACAGCTCGCCCACATCCAGAGCACTGCAGTCACCCCCAGCCTGAGGCAGCAGAGTTCCCTAGGCATGAAGTGTTGTGAGGGTGGTATTCCCCCGCTTCACGCACCCCACACCCACACACCATGGCGCAGAGCGCCGGCATGCCGACCACTGGCTGTCACAGAGGCGGATGTGGTCCCTGACTCCAACTCATGGGACAAATTCTAACCACACCTCCCTCCCGTGAGCTCCAAGGGGCTGAGAACATGGCACAGAGACACGTGACACGTGGGACCTAACGCCCCTGAAGAAGTGCTGGACGCCAGCCTAGGGAGCACGGGCTTTTCCTGCGGGCCATAGCCAAGCTCCACGACGTGGCCAGTTGAGCTCACCTGGGCCAGTGAGTGGGACCAGCGGTGTGAGAGCCCCACCTTTCTCCAGGCTCCCCCTGTCCCCGCCCCGGTCCCAGGTCTGGTGCAGCTTGGGGTGGGCAGAAGCCCTCAGCCTGCCTGTACCTGGTACCTGCATTGTTGCCCCTCATCCACTCCACGCCCTGAGAGCAGGGCGGGATAGTGTGCTGGCCTGGGGCCTTGCACACGGTTCATGCTGGAGCGCAACCGCCCGAGCCTCAGGGGAGCTCTCCCTGACTCTGCAGGGCCCTGCCAGGTCCACTCTGGGAAATGCTCTGCTGGCCCCATGCTGCTCCGTGTGGACTCAATTTGCTCAGCAACCCCTGGGTTTTCCTGGTCGTTGAAAAGGCAAATTGCAAGCCAGCCTAGAGTCTGGGAACCTGGGCCTTGAGCTCGTTGCCTCAGGCTGTGTGTTCCTGGGCCAGCTTCCAGGCTGGGGCACTCACCGCGGGGCTTACGCCCGGATCCTCATCCTTCAGATTTTGGGGAGTCAGGTTTTCCCTGGAACTTGGTCCAGCCAGTGGCCCTTGCCCTGGGCTGCGGCTGCCCCTCCATCACCCAGACCCCGGGTGGCACCTGCAGAAACGGGGGAGGGGCTTCCACGGGGAGCCATGGTCCCCGGCACCGGTGCTGATTCGTTCCACCCCTCTCCCCAGCACGTGTGGGATGGCGCTGCTGTGTGCTGGGGCCAGCGTCACAGATGCATCTGCTGGCATCCTGACCCTGCCAGAGGCCCGAAGGCGGGAACTCCAGGGTTGAGGGAGTTAGTCGGCTCAGGCTGCTGAGACCAAACCCCGAGCCTGGGCACTTAAACAGCAGAAACGTACGGTCTCCCAGTCCTGGAGGCCGGAAATCTGAGATCAAACTGTCGGCAGAGTTGGTTTCTCTGAGGCCTCGCTCCTCGGCACGTAGACGACCATCTCTTCCCTGTGTTCTCAGGTGGTCGTCCCTCTGTGCGTCTGTGTCATCTCCTCTTCTAAGGACACCAGTCAGACTGGATCAGGGCCACTCATATGACCTCATGTCCCTTAATCACCTCTGTAAAGACCCCATCTCCAAACACAGTCACATCCTGAGGTCCTGGGGGTTAGGATTTTGTGGAGACATGGTTCAGCTCCTAACAAGGGGCTGAGATAGGGCTCTGTGGGGGCACAGAGGGTGGGCGTCTGCCCTGAATTGAGTTTAAAGGAGATGTCTGCCAGGATGGGGGGACAGGGGAGGAGGGGCAGGGGCTGCGGAGAAGGCCTGGCCCAGGGGTCCCTGCAGGCAGACGGGGCTGCAGCATGGGCTCAAAAAGGCCAAGCCGTCAGCTCGCAAGCACCAGGCCCTGCCTGTGTCCCCCACGAGCTCTGTGGCCGTGGCAGCCCAAGCTCAGATGACCAGGTGTTGCACACAGACCTTCTCTGCAAATGGACACAGGAGCCAGGCCTCGGTGCACCTGCAAACCCTGAGCAAACCCCCTCCACCACCTGGATTCCCCAGGCTGTCCCTGTCCTGCGGAGATGGTGGTCTCTGTGGTGATTCGGCTTGGACCAGCCTCATGAGGCTGTGCCGTCACTTGCCTGCAGGTCCCATGTGCACACTCCATTGAGGGGCCCCCTGACCTGACATGGAGGTCTGGGGGCCGTGCAAGAGCCCCCTCACCTCAGCCCATTGGCAGGGACCCACCCAGAAGCTGACTTCCACACCACGGTCAGGAAGGTGGCACTCCCTGCTCCCCCTCCTCCCTGCCCCTACAGGCTGCGCTCAGGAGGCTGTGGCACTTGTGGGGGACAGAGCCTGCTATCATCAGCCGTCAACAAAGCCCAGAAAAGCTTCAGCCTTCACAAGAATCTCCAAGTGAGCGTGCAAACCGGCTCAGCGTTTGTGCAGGCGGACGGCAGCACAGGTCAGGCCTAAGTGAGCATCCCTTCAACCCGGCAGTTCCGCTTGAAGGAGTCTGTCCTAAGACACCCAGAGCCCTCACCAGGACGGTCCCCCAGGACAAAGTGCCTGAGCTCTGCTGCTACCACCCGCCCATGACGGCAGGCACACATGTGAGGTCCCTCCTTGGCCCGAGAGCAGAGGGCACAGGCGCCCCCTCCAAGAGCCCAGCTTGCTCACAAGGAGGGACACAGCTGGCCCGAGGCCACCTTCCAGAGCATGCCCCTCACCCTGGCACATGCAGGTGCTTGGCACCCCCACAGGGCACTCCTCAAGAGCCTGATGCTGGAAACTGCTGGGGCCGGGGGGCCCTGGGGCAGGGCTCTGCCCTGCACCTCGGATGCCATCAAGGCTCCCTGGCCTTCATCAGTGTGATGTGGGGGACCCTGAGGTGACAAAGGGCCCACATGGCCCCAGGGCTGAGAGGTCTCAAGTTTGGAAGGGGTACTTCCCTGCTGTGTAACCTTGGTGAGCTCTTTAGCCTCTCTGTGCTCAGCTCCCTCATCCACAGAAGTGGACACAGAGCCCTGCTCCTAGGACCGTGTAGAGGCTGACTAGGGTGCTGGCTGCCAAGAGCTGGGCCTCCACCAATGCCGGCGGTGACCGATGTGGCCCTGCTCTGACCCCCGGGCCATCCCTGGGTTGGGGCTCCAGGCTGCTGTACTCTCCCCTATGGAAGTATTGCTTCTGACCCTCTTCCCAGCCTTGGGTCTGCCCTCTCACCCTGCTCCCTTCTGTGTCCCTCACTCACCACCCCACTGGCCCCTAATGGGGAGGGGACAAACAAGCCTCCTGGGCTGAGGACCCCTTCCCAAGCTGCCTCACTACCGCCCCCAAAACCAACCCCTGGGGTCACCTCAGGGCCCTGTGTGCCCCCAGCACCGGCGCTGGGAACCAGCTCAGTGGGAATGCCGTTCTCTTCTCTCCTGGGCCCACATGCCAGCTGGAACGAGGGGCAGGGGGGGTGCCAGCACACAGAGACCCTCCCTTAGCAGCCCTGCCCTTCCACAGACCCTGGGGCTCCTCCCCTCGTCCCCCCAGATCTGTGTCCTCTGTGCCCACATGCCCCCCTTGGGTCATCTGCCCTTCCCCACTCACCCCACCCCAGCTGGACTCACTGGATGTTTTCCTCGGGACTTCCCTTCTCCCAGCGCAGGAAGGAGGTGTGACGATCACATTTCCTGTCCTTGTTCTCATCTGTGAGAACTGGGTGAAGGAGGACACGGCAGTGACCACAAAGCAGGACGGCAGGAGGCCGAGCAGGACGGCCGACTCCTGGGCGCCCAGGTCCTACCAGGAACTTTCTGGAACGAAGGGGAGTCACAGGCTACATCAATGGAAGACCTCAGCCTTCACACATCAAAGGGCTCCCGATGCATGTGAGGATGCAGCCTGTAGAGAAGCAACCCCATGAAATCCCAACCTCAGAACGTTCACTGGCAAGAAACCCTTGAATGTAAAGACCACAGGAGAGCCTTCAGTCCAGGCTGCATGTTCTAATGCAGAGAGTCGCACAGGTTGCACGTGAAAGAAACCTTTCAGTTACAATGAAAGAGAAGCTACGCAGGCAGACCACAGCCTCCCAGCCCGGGTGCACTGACTGTGAATTTACACCAGAAGGACACTCCTTCCCTTGCCCTCCCAGCTCATGTAACGCCTAAGAGTTGGTCTCCTTGTAAATCTGTAATAGGATGAACATGGAAAGATCATGTAATGGGAGAATGAACGTACTCACCACCCACCCCTTGTCATACATTGTAACCAGAGGGGGCAGATATTAGTTTTCCTAGGTTAATTTGTGTGACACGTAACTGAGCAACAGGCCGGCAGGTGAGGAATCCGCACATCTTGGAAGAATGGTGAACCCTGGTGGCCCGACTCTTGTGTGTCTTCCTTGCTCTGCGTCCACGACCTCCCTGATTCGCTGGTGTGTGGTCCCCGCACCTGCACTCCGGAACAGCAGCCTGGACCCCGGCTACCCTCTGGGGTCATCTAGGGGTGCTTTTAAAACTGCCAGTGTTAGTGCCCACTTCCGCACCCCCACCCATTAAATTAGAACTCCAGGGAGATGGGGCCCGGGCACATTTCTTTTAAGCTCTCCAGGTGTTTCAAATGAACAGTTTGGGTTGACCACCACTGCCCCAAGGGAACCTTGCCTTCTGGTTCCACTTAAACCTGACTGACCGTCAGCATCACTGGGAAGTTTCTAAAATTATGGGGTACCAGGCTCAACCCCCATGCATTCTGTTTTGTCAGCTCTTGGATGGCACCTGAAAAAAATCTTCAAGGATTCCGAGGTGATTCTGATGAAGAGCAGGTTTGGGAACCAATGACAGAGGGCGTGAAAACGAACAAGGAGGCAGCAGTGCCAGCAAGGGGAGAAGGAGACCCAGCATTCGTGGAGCATCCGCCGAGCCACACCATGTCCTTGGCACCTTCCATAGCTGTATCATTCGTTTTCACTGAAAATCCCGTGAGATGGAATTCCTATCCCCATTGTGCAGGGGACAAAACTGAGGGTGTGCAAGGTGCTCGCTCCCCTCACCAGCCGGGCGCTGTGGGGTTGGAATCCAGACCCAGACAGCCTGCCTCAGCCCCCTCCCACCATCTGAGACCACAAGCTCCTGTCCTCCAGACTTCAAGCTCCAGCATCAGATGGGAAGACGACAGCTGCTCAGCCGGCCCCACGATCTCATGTCGCCAATCTCTGGAACAGGTCAGGTCAGACACCCGTATGTGTGTGTGTATGTACAGCTCCCAACGGTCAGCTTCTCTGGCTGAACCCTGACCAATGCATTAGCACGATCAGAAGACCTCAGATTCTGACCTCTGAAATAGTAGGTGTTGGGTCCATCCAGTGGAAAGATTCTTTAAGCTTCTAAAAGGTTTGGGCTGGATAGAGAGTGAGATGTGAGACAGGGTGTTGGACAGGCCACATAAGGATGACTTCTGATAGCATCTCCCTGAGACAGGACCACCCTGGGGTGGAGGCCAGGCCCAGCCAGGCGCACTTCCCTCACTCCCGAGCTCTCTAGTGACAAGCCGGCCTCTGTAAGCGGGGCTGGGCCGACAACTCCATCTCTCACATGGCCCTGTGTGACCCTGCAGGGTCGGTACAGTCATCACCTCCATTTGAACCTACACAGCCAGCAGTGGAGCAGGCGTCTGGCTCCAGTGGTCTGACAGTGGGCAAGTCTCTCAGCCTCCCTGAGCCTTCACTGTTTTCTCTGGAAAGTGGGGCCGGCACCGCAGCGCTGTGAGGGCCAAAGGAGACGACAGAGAGGAAGACGTTTCACAGCAGGGAGCATGGTCACTCGTGAGTGACCGGTGTGGTTGCCGTGGCACAGCTGACCACGGGAAGCAGGCCTCCAGGGCCCTGACTCAGGGGCTGTGAAGCAGGAGGCCTGGCCCTGAGATCTGTGGGCTTCGGGGATGACTGAGGTGAGACATGATGACCTGACTTGCAGGTTTGAGAGAAAGGCTTCCATCAAATGTGCTGTAGTTCCCCAAGGCCACGCCAGCTGCCCCCGAGAGCAGGGGTATGGAGACCTGCAGCTTCCTCCTCGCCAGACACTGGAGGGAGGAAGCCACGAGTCCCAGCAGGATGTCCTGGGAGCTGGAGTCCCCGGGGCTGGTGCCCAGACTCAGTGCCAGCAGGGCTCAGCCTGGTGGGGGCATGGCAACATCCTGACCCCCGTGCTCCACCTGACAGGACGGCCATTCATTCGGGGGGAGAGAGGCAGTAAAGAAGTGAAGAAACAAATATAGCTTCAGGCTGCAGCCAGCAGAGGAGGCGGCCTGAGCGGCACTGGCCACGAGCACTGTGAGCCACAGACATCGTCTGTAATGTTCAAGCGGCCACATTTTAAAAAGTACAAAGAAACAGGTGAAATTAGTTGTAATAATATCTTTTCTTTAACCCAATGTATCCAAAATACCGTGTTTCAACATGAAATAGATACTTTAAAGCGGTCGAGATATTTTACACCGCTTTTCTTTTCTTTGTACTAAGTCTCCCGAGTCTGGCACGTACATTCGTGCCCACAGGCCATCCCAGTTTGCACCAGCCAGGGCTCAGAAGCGCATGTGGCTCATGACCCTCTGCTGACGGCTGGGGGCTAGAGGGGGGACAAGGGTGGAGTTTAGATAAGGAGGAGAGTGGGGGCCCTCCTCCCCGACAGGGGGATAGCGACAGCAGGGCAGGGGGTGCAGGCTCCATGCCTGCCCACGGCAGGTTGTCCACACCCTTGTTGGATAAACAGCCAGCCAAGGAGGCCGGGTCTGGGCAGGCCCAGTGCCAGCAGGAGAAGCAGACACCTGGCCACATGGGTCTACCCAGGGCAGGCAGCATGCTCTGGCCCTCGTCACCTTGTCACACTAGGACCTTCCCCAGGGTCCCCACTGTGGCAGAGCTGACCCCAACCGCCACCTGCAGCCGGGGGGACAGAGCGGGGCAGAGCCCAGGGTGTGATGGCTTCCTCATCGTGGCAGCCCTTTTCTTCTGAAAAACAATTTGTTCCCGTTCCCTTCTTTCATTTAGCCATGTTTACAGAATTCAGAAGGAATGTCTGAGCTAAAAAAATATAGAAGTATGCTTAAAAGTATGCTTCCAACAGTATCAATTCAAAAGAGGAGTAAACAGATAAAGGAGGGGGTTTTCTTATTTACAAAAGCATCGCAGAGCCTTCCAGTTTCAGCTGTGACACACAAAATCAATATATGTTCACGGAAACCCAGAGAGTGTGAAACACACAAGAGTGAAAAGTGAGCAGCCCCAGCCTGCCACACCTCCCCAGAGGTGACCACAGGCAGACTCAACCACCCCAGTCCAGAGAGCTCACATGTGGCTGTGTGCACATTGCACAGGAACAGACACATGTATGTGCTGCTTGCACACAAACAGAATTTTACTAAACAGATTACTCTGTGACTTGGTTTTTCTCAATTAATAGTAAATATGTTGTGGACATTTTCAATTAATTATGAATATTAATTTATCATAGTTCGTTTTTTCAGATCAGAACACACAGAGTTAGCTAGAAATCCAGATTTTTATATGAACTCTCCAGAATTTTAAGCTGCCAAATAATTATTTTCATTTACTCACCAAACAAGCAGTTTTAAAATAACATCAGAAATCTAAAACAAAAATTGCCCACAAGCCCATTACTTAATGCGTTTTCATGGATCCATAAGCTTATTCAAGTTTTGCAAAATCCCACTAGATTCTGCATGTCTATTTTAATATTAGAGTGTGTATTTTTTCCACTTTGGTACAATTTTCTTTCTCCATTCACCTTCCCTCCCATTTTGCCTCACCCCCGTGGACCCATCGGCAGCCAACGCTAGCAGTGAAGGGGCAGCAGACCACACCCGCCGGCCGACCCAGCCAGCTACGTGTGTTTGTCAATAAAGATTCACTGGGTCACAGCCACACCTGTGTGCTGACATTTGTCTAGGGCTGCTCTCGCACTCCCAGGGCAAAATCAAGAAGTTACAATAGAAACCGTCTGGCCTGCAAAGCCTAAAATAGTTACTATCTGGGCCTTCACAGAAAAAGTTCGCTGAGCCCTGGCCAAGAGTGTATCCCTCCATGGATTTCTCCATGCTCATACGGACACAGAGAAACAAATACCTGAGTGCTGCTTGCTGTCCTAATAAAACAGGCTTTCTTTTTACTTCATGGGACAGGCACCGTTCGTGTCTGGTGCAGTGGTTAGGGACACAAGCTCTGGAGTCAGAAGCTGGGCCCTGGGCCCAGCTCAGTGCTCACTAGCTCTGTGACCTTTGGCAAATTGTTTGACTTTTCTGTTCCTCAATTTATTCAGTTATATTATAGAGATGTTATAGTACCCGTATCACTGGGCTGCCATGAGGATTAGATGAACTAATACATGTAAAATGTTTAGAACATTCAAGAAACACATAGTAAACATTTGTTAAATCTCATCTATTACAATTGTCCATTCAGAAACATGTGTTGAGGGAATCTGCATAGCTGAAGTAATGGCGGCAGCATAAATCCGAGTCTCCCGGCATATCCTTCAAAATATCAGTAACAGGGGCCAGCCCGGTGGCGCAGCGGTTAAGGGCGCACGTTCCACTTCGGCGGCCCGGGGTTCGCCAGTTCGGATCCCAGGTGCAGACATGGCACCGCTGGGCAAGTCATGCTGTGGCAGGCATCCCACATATTAAAAAGTAGAGGAAGATGGGCACGGATGTTAGCTCAGGGCTAGTCTTCCTCAGAAAAAAGAGGAGGACTGGCAGCAGATGTTAGCTCAGGGATAATCTTCCTCAAAAAAAAAAAAAAACCAATAACGAACGAACAAGAACAAATACAACGAGAGAAAACTCGTGCTGTGGGCAAAACTACAGGAGAAAAAACACCCAACTTCAAATCACCTGTAAAACAAGAAGCAAGAGGGGGAGTTTAAGATCCTGTAACACAAAAGAAAGTTATTAAAAATCAAACATCCCACCACCTTCCCCCCGGCCTCCCTCCAAAAACAAAAGCCATGTGGTAGACACTATACTTCACCTCACTGACACAGGAGGCCCCTCTTGGACTAGGAATCTTGTAAAGCAACCCAAACCTGTCTACACAGAAACGCAGAGGTGTACTCTCCATCTTTCCCAAACCACTATAAAAGGAGAGGAGGAAATGAGATTCACACAATTCAGCCCATGAACATTCCTGGAATACCCAACAGTAAGACAGAAGAAAACAGGAACATGACACCCCAAACAGAATCAAATGTCTGCAAGTATTTGAAGATACGGGGGGTGGGGGGGGTGCCTTGAATCAGAACAGAAAGGAACAAAAACCAGGAAGAAATAAATGAGCTCAGGAAAACATAGACGAAAAATCAATAACCAATCAGAAAGGAAAATGCAACGACAAGATGCACAAGGAAGAATGGATTCGAATGAAATTACTAAGGAGTCTTGAAGGAAAGCAGGAAAATAAACGAGAATTTAAAATGAAATAAAGAAATAAGAAGTGTCAGAGAGAAATGGAGGACAGGCAAAGGTATAACGCATGTAAAATTGGAATTCCTGAAGAAAATAAAACAATGGAATGGAACTAATGTTTACAACTATATTCCAAGAAAACTTCTGGAAAAAAAGAAGCCCTAAATCTACATCCTGAGAGGGATCCCTGGCTACCAGGAAGACAGAAGCATAAAGACCAAGCCTGAGCTTCCTAGAAAAGCTCCCAGACTCTAACGAGAAAGAAAAACACAAGGCTCCCAGGCAAAAAGGTCAAATAATCTCCAGGAGCAGGAGAATTAGACCAGCGTCAAACTTCTCCAAATCCACACCAGTGAGCAAGGCGACAACGGAGCAGCATTTTCAAAATCTCAAGAAAATGGGAAGCGAGGGCTGTGTATCCACTCCAGCTGCCCTTCAAGCGATCAGGCTACAGGAGAACAGCTTTAATCCTGCAAGAGGGCAGGGATCCTTCCTGTACCTAGGAGCCCACCATGGGGGACCTACTAGAAGCTTCATCCAAGCAAGAGATGACGGAAACTCTGGCAAAAAGTAGTGATCCTTGACTGTGGATGGAATGTGAAAAGAGGGAAGAGAGAGCGGCAGAACATGCTTTCAATGTACGTTCTGACACGGCAGAAATAATGTAGCTTTTCAAAATGCGAGGAGGGGGCGGGAGAGAAGGAAGTAGAGCTCTCTGGCTGTGTCCGGCGAAAGGTGGAAGGTGGAGGGTCCCCTCCAACCTGCGGAACCAAACAGTAAGCGACTGAGCAAGAAGACGGATCTTTCTCTCCCGAAGCTAAGCTTGCCTCCCAGGTGCCCATTGCCCGTCCTAGAAATCTCTCCTCCCGTGACGGGTCCCCGCCCCGGCCCGTGACCGCCAGGACCCCCATGAGAACACAGCGCCGGGCGGCAGCGGGAAGCAGCGCGCCCCGCCGAGGGAGGCCGGTCCGGGCGTCCTGAGCAAGCGCGGGCAGGGCACGCAGCAGGGGGTGCTCCAGAAAAGGGACAAGCGGGGAGCGGAGAGCCTCGAGGAGCCCCGCTCTCCTCCCCACAGAGGCTGCCCAGCGGAAAGGGGACCCCCTTCCCCACCTCGCCCCGCTGCTGCCTTACACACTTACCGGGCAGCTGGGAGGCAGGTCTGGGAGCCGGCGGGAGCTTCCTGCCCAGGGGAACGGCCTCTGGCCAGTCCTCACACGCCAATGCCAGGGCATCCCCTGGAGCTCCCGGCGGCCGGCTCAGCCACCAACACCCATCCCAAGACTGGCCGCGCGAGCCTGAGCAGAGGACCGGCTAAGCAGGCCGGGACTCTCTCCAGGAGCTGTGAGCCACCCGGGCGCCGCTTTAAGCCGCTGAGTTTGTGCTAACCGCGAAACCAACACGCCGGGTGGTCAGGTGGGCCCCAAGGAGGAGGTGAGCTCCAAGCGGGCAGGCAGCGGGAGTGAGCCAAGCAGAGCTGGGGATGAGCAGCCCGGCAGAGGGAGCTGCCAGTGCAACGGGACGCAGGCGGAGCGTGCCTGCTTTGTGTGAAGAGTGAGCTGGGAGACAGGAGTGAGGGAGGAGGCGCAGGGGTGAGCGAGGGGGATGTAAGGATGAGTGAGGAGACACAGGGTGAGCGAGGGGGATGTAGGAGTGAGCAAGGGGGATGCAAGGATGAGCGAGGGGGCGCAGGAGTGAGCGAATGGGATGCAGGGGTAAGCGAGGGGGCGCAGGAGTGAGCGAAGGGGATGCAGGGGTAAGCGAGGGGGCGCAGGAGTGAGCGAGGGAGACAGGAGTGAGGCAGGGGGCGCAGGAGTGAGCGAGGGGGTTGCACAGGTGAGCGACGGGGATGCACAGGTGAGCGAGGGGGACAGGAGTGAGGGAGCGGGCCGAGGAGCGATGGTGACACAGCGGTGGGTGAGGAGACACAGGGGTGAGCAAGGGGGCCGCAGCGGGGAGCGAGGGTCCGCAGGAGTGAGGGCGCGGCCGCAGGAGTGAGTTGAGCGAGGGGGTACAGCGGAGACGAGCCGGAGCGACACCCCAGCCGGGTGGGAGTCCGGAGCCCTCCACCGCGCACCACCCGGAGGCCCCGGACCTCGCTTCCTAGAGCGGCACCGGAAGGGGCGGGACCTGGGGGCGGACCCTTCCTGCGGTGCGGGGTCGCGCAGGCCCGGGCCAGGCTGAGTGAAACCGCCTGAGGGGCAGAGCCCTCCGTGCGCACCACCGAGAGGCCGGCCTGTCCTCCTAGAGCGGCACCGGAAGGGGCGGGGCCTGGGGCCGGCTTTTCAGCTGGGCGCGAAGTCTCGGCTCCTCCGCTGGGCAGCCTCCTGAGGGGCGGCGCAGGACGGTTGGACTGTGGCGGGGTGCGGCCTCGGCCTCCTCCGAGGGCCGCGCCCGCCCCTCCCTTCCTGGGCTCCAGGCGCCGCGGACAGAGGGCTAGGCTGCGGGAGGTCTAGCTCCGGGCGGCCGAGGTGAAGGCGTCGCCCCGGGCCCTCCGCACGCGGTGGCGGGGCTCTGTCGGTGGCGGGGCCGCATGGCGCACTGCCGCTCTCGGCCTTTCTCCTCGGCCTGGACTCTGCGCGTGGCCGCTGGCGGGCCGGGGCCAACAGCCTGGGTGCGTGTTTGCCCTTGGGTGTCACACCCATCGGTAATCCAGTCTCTCCCTGAGGCTCCTGCGGCAGCTGGGGAGGCGGCTAGCGGGGGAGGTTTCCAGGGAGTCCCGCTGCTGACGGACGCCCAGAGCTTCACGCTACCCGCCTGGCCCAGAAAGTAAAGGAGCCACACCGGCGTTTCATAGTAGGTACCAGCACCCCAGCGTTCGGGCCCGGCTCTCCTCTGCTCTGCAAGGTAGATTGAGTTATCGGTGTGGCTGTAGCAGCCGCTGATATCTGCAGGCCTGTGAAGTGCGGGGCTCGCGACGATCTCTGCTGGTCCACTCCGTTCTTAAGAATTGTTTTATTTTTTTGGTGTGCACAACACTTAGGGAAGTGAGAAAATCCAGACTCTGCCTTGAGAGCACCTGCCAGCTTGAGTCTCACAAACAAGACGACTGTCTAGAATGTTTCCTGAGCACCAATATATGCAGACTCTAGCCAAGTAACCAGGGATTCAAGGCTAAAAAAGACACAATCCTTGCCCTCAAGAACCCGTGCCTCATGGGGTGGCTGCCGCATCAGTGACGAGCGATACATGGAGTGGCAAGAGTCCTAGTTGGGGGCACAGTGCTTGGAGCACAGGGGAACCCCACACAGGCCCTCAGCCGGCAGGTGTCAGGCTCGGTGGGTTCAGGGACTGCTCCCCTCCATCAGATGGAGTCAACATCCAGAGCTACCCTGCCCTGGACAGTGGCAGTTAGCTAGGGGCACCAGGGTTGGTTGGCTTTTGTATTGGTTCTTGGTTTTCACCTCAGTTTCCTACTAAAACTGTACTCCAGCCTGGTTGAGTGGGGCTGTGGTCCTCTGCCCTAGTTCCACCTGCCTGCCCAGCAGAGGTGCCCCCTCATTTCTGCATGCCCCCCTCAGCCCAGATGACCTTACTTCATCTTCAGTTCTGGCTCCCACCCAATACTGAAAATGGCCTTTTCCCAGGAGCTGCCTCCAGTGAAGTCCTGAGAGAGTGACGTTGTCCTGATTCTAAATCAGATGTATCTACACATTTTCATTCAGAAGAAGCCAGACTCCCAAACTGCTTGTCAAGATGGAACATCCGTCTACTCATTTTATGTGTTGTCTCTGTGCATGGAAGAGGAGAGGAAAAGCCAGGTATCCCCTTTTGACTTGACAAAGAATTCACAGTATTGTACCATAAATCAACCATATGTTGCTTGGGATATTATCACCTCGAGCACCGCGTTTCTGGGTAAAAGCGTGTCTGGGCCACGGCCCCCCTAGCAGATAGGATACCCAGCACTGGCCGGGTGATGCTTTGCTAAGAACGCCTTCTGCAGGGTGGTTTGGGAACTCGGAACACCGTCTGCCTTCTTTGGAGCTCAGAGGAGAGAGTGTTTTCTAATGTGCTGGAGATTTCTTTCACTGTTACTTAAAGAACCTGAAGTTTGTCGAGTTTTATGCTGGGACTCCATTTGTTAGCACCAAGAGGCAGGTCAAGGAAGCTCAGAAATGATACAGGAAAAAAATAGATGAGAGTTCATAACAAATGAAATACAAGCCGTTGGTGACGATTCTACAGGGCCTTACTTGTTGCTGGGACCGACCCATTCCTGCTTGATTTTATGGTGAAATTGGGATGCTTTTTAGATGGAATTAGGGACAGAATATCAGGTTTTCCAGGCAGTGCAAGCAAGGTCCTAGTTGATGGTTACCTGGGGCTTTGGCCCTCAGGATGAGTTAGCTCAGGTTAAGTGCTACAAGGGAAACCAGAGCTGAGTGAGGGGACAGGGAGTGGGGGGCCGTGTTTGGTCGGCATGATGGAGGCCTCTGTGAGAAGGGACCTCAGAGCAGATCTCAGAATGAGAGCGTCCAGCCCCACAAACACCTGCTCTCAGGGCCTGTTTCTAAAAGCAGCCAGGCGCCAAGGCAGGAAGGACCGGGTATGTTTGGGGAACCGAAAGAAGGCTGATGGCTGGAGGGGAGCACGGGATGGGCCAGGGACAGCAGGAGTGTGTAGGGTTTGTAAGGATGAGGGAAGCCATTGGGGGTTTGAGCAGGGACCTGCTGTGGATTATTCACTGGCTGCCATGTGGAAAATGGACCAAGAGGGAGGGCTGGGGGCAAGGGTGGGAGCAGGGGTACCCACTAGAGAGCCAGCCCCAAGTTTCATCCAGCTCAGAATCCAGGCTGCAGGTGATGGGAGCCTTCCCTGGGGGGTTATGTGTGTCTCCTGCAGCCTGTAGCTCCAAAGGGCCTTGTCTGGTCCCAAATACAGGAGTGGAGGAAGGGCAGGAAAACTCCACTTCAGGGACCAGATAGCAGTCATTGGTCCATGGTACACGTCAAATCCTACTGCATACACTGGAGACCTGCCCCCTGGCAGAGGAATAAGAATTCCTTGGTTAGCAACTTAGTAAACGATGATGCCGTTTACTAAGATGAGGAATACCTGGAAGAGTGAGTTGGCTGGGTCTTGGGGGCAATCAAGTGTTCTGTTAGGTTGTGTCCAGTTTGAGATGCTCATTAGATGTTCAAGTGGGAATACATGAGCAGGGAAGGGAAGGGGGGCCGTGTTCCTGCGTCCCCCCAACCCCCTCCCCTTCCCACACTCCCCTCCTGTCCTTCTGTCCCTTATTAATTCAGCGCTGAAAGAGCTTGCGGCTGTGTTCTTTCTAACACTCATTTTATGTTCATGGCCTTGCCTCTCTCCAGCAGCAAAAGGGTTGGTGGCACTCTGCTTTCTCTTGCAGATTTTCTGTTCCAGAGCCTCAGTTACAAGCTGAGAGAAAATGAAGAATTGTGTCTAAAGCAAGCCCTTTCTGAGGAGGTGGGGTGACAGAGAAATTCCTAACATAAGACTGGAGAATTTTGCCCTGGCTTTTCTCCTTAGCCCTTAGTGGTCTCCAGTGGTCCTTCCTCCCTCCTGGGAACAGAGAAAGATGGAGAAGCCCACGAGCAAAAAAAGGAAGACACAGATCCCAAAGGAAGAAGGGAATGTGCCAAAGGACACTTGCGAGCAAGAGAAAATGTCTGGGAACAGACAGCCCAACAAGAGCTCCACTTTGGCTAAAAAGCACAGTAAAGAGCCCAGCCTGAGTCCCGAAGAGGAAGAACATATATTTGATGCCTTCGATGCTTCATTTAAAGATGACTTTGAGGGGGTTCCTGTCTTCATCCCTTTTCAGAGAAAGAAACCACACGAATGCAGTGAATGCGGACGCATCTTTAAGCACAAGACAGATCACATTCGCCACCAGAGAGTTCACACTGGAGAGAAGCCCTTTCAGTGCGATCAGTGTGGGAAGACGTTCAGGCACAGTTCCGATGTCACTAAACACCAGAGGATCCACACTGGAGAAAAGCCCTTTAAATGCAGCGAATGCGGGAAAGCGTTTAACTGTGGTTCGAATCTCCTAAAGCATCAGAAAACCCACACTGGGGAGAAGCCGTATGAATGTAAGGAATGTGGGAAGACGTTTGCCTACAGCTCGTGTCTTATTCGCCATCGGAAACGTCACCCACGGAAGAAGCACTGAGCGTAGGGAAGCTGTCCACTGAGCACCACCCTGGGCAGACCTACCCCTCTGGTCCCCTCATTCAGTGTCTGATCGATGCTGGGGTGTGTGAGAAACGTCTTCAGTGGACCTTTACTCATTGGTCCCTGTCATCACCAGGAAAATCAGCCCATCAGATAAGCAAATGCCAAGACGTGAAAAAAGACCTTTCTAGTCCAGAGACTCTCTATGGATCAGGACACTGTGATAATGTGGAAGCTCCTCGCAGCTGTGGCACCAGAGATGGCACATGTGTGAACTGCCATCCACGGGGCAGGCTGCAGGCCCCAAGCACAGCCCACTGGCAGAGGCACCTGGCATTTGCCAGCAGCCCTGCACCTCCCTCTGCTGCCTCTGCCTGTGGCATCCACTCTGGCTTCAGACCTCTCACCTGCTTCTTTGGTCTGCAGACTCTTGGCTCACTGGGTCCCAAGCCCATCCCCATGCAGCCGGGCAGGAGGCCTATGGCCCCAAGCTTCTGCAATGAGCTCTGGGGACCCAGGTGCCCACTGGACTGCACCAGACCCCCGCTGTCCCTGCTCGGCTGGCTTCGGTGATGGTGCTGTGGTTTGTTCTCTGGCTTCCCTCCTTGGGCTGGACCACCAAGCCCCATCCCAGCTCCATCCGCTGGAACTGGGCCCTCTGTGTGTCCTCCAGCCCAGCCGCCATCCCAGATGAGTGGCCTGACTTACCCATATGGACCACTTGGGACAGCTCTTCAGGGCCTACATGCTGCCACCGTGGGAGGTTCCTGCCCTGGCCACATGGTGGGGACCCCGGGACACTGATGGCAGCTTCAATCCAGTCTGCGTCTACCATACAGCCCTCCAGACACAAGGTGGTCTGCTCCTGCCCCCCAAGAGGCAGCTCTCCGTTCAGGTTAGTTCCTTCTCCATGCCTGGCCCCCAGGTTCTATCCTACCACTCGGTCAAGTCCACGTACTGTGCCCACCCTTTGTTTCCCTCCAGGAGTGGTCTGAATGGGGCTCCGTGCTTTCCAGGGTGGTGAGATTTCTCCCAGAATTTCCACACAGCATACGGAGAGTGAGGTGACTGTCAGCCGGGAAGTAATATGGCATTTTATTAAGAAAATGTTGATGCCTACATTTTCAGTCATTTGGAGCCAAAAAACTAGTAATGGCCTTAGTCTTTGGGTATTCGGTCCTAAAAGAAGGCCCTGAGTTAGGGTGGAGCTGGGCTCCTTCGTCGGGCGGTGACAGACGACAGAGGGGAGAGTGCTCCCAGTGGAAATGTTTCTTTGGGTTAACGGATTTTTTACTCTTGTTCTTTCTAAAAGCTATGACATTGTAATACCTCTTTCCTAGCTGGGTGCCTCGACTCCTCAGCACAGCAGGCCCTCCTCCCACACCCAACTCACCTGGGCCCCAGGTGTGACAAGCATCAACTGCCACCCAGTACGTCCTCTGCCACCTGTGCTACGGCTCTCATAGTCACAGAAATGGAGATCTGATGAGACGAAATTGTTCCAAAGCCGGTGCCAGAGGCTGGCTTAGTGGGGAGACACACAGTGTATGACCCTGGATGGGAAAGGTTGCTACGGAGGATGTTACCGGAACATTTGACAAACGTTGGGTCTAGACTGTCCACTGGGTGGCAGGGCCACATCAATTTAAAGTTCCCCAGTTGGATTATGGCCTGTGGCCATGGCAGACAGCATCCTTGTCACAAAAGATGCACCCTAAGGTTTTCAGGGGCACAGGGTCACGATGTCTGCAGTTTACTCCCAAATGTCAAGAAACAGTGCTAACAATACACGTATAGACACTGAGAGAGTGACGAAGCAAACTGGCCAAATGTCAGTCAGCCCTGAATCTAGAGCAAGATTGGCAAACTTTTTCTGTAAAGGGCCAGATAATAACCATTCTTGGTTTTGCAGCCATAAGGTCTCTGTCACTACTCACCTCAGCTGTGACGTGTGACAGCAGTCACGGACAGTACAGAAATGAGTGAGCATGGCTGTGTGCCAATAAAGCTTTATTTACAAAAACACATGGTGGGCCGGATTTGGCCTGTTCTAGATGAAGAGCAGGGTGTGTGAGAGTTCACTCCCCATCCTGTAAGTCCTAGAGTCCTTCAGAACTAAATATTGGCAGGGGAAAAGCTGGGTGCAGGGAGTGGAAAGAAACCCTGGGGAAGGGGCCAAGGAGATGCTCAAAGCAGCCTCTGCTGCTTGTCTTGATGCTCCAGGGAGGACGGGGTGTGGGCTCAGGGACATCAGCCACAGCCACAGCACTCACACATCTCAGGGTGCCTGCATCTACTTTGGTTTGGTTTGTTTTTTATTTATTATATTATTATAATATACCATGATGTTGCTATACATAACATTATCATGTAACATATATCATATTTTACAGTATGTCATATAAACTACAGAATAATTATCATTTTCTATATTCTGTCTCCACATCATTACCAGCAGGAAGCATTTTTTGTAGCTGCATCTGATAGATTGGATAGGAAAGTTGACTTATTCCATTTATTTCCTAACCAAGGCCTGTAGACAGTTTCTGGTTTAGATCGTTATAAATAATCTGTCATAAATATCTTTTCCACATTTAGGGCTGACAGGACAGGTCCCAGAAGCAGAATGACAGGCAGAGATCATGCTGGCAGATGCCTTCCTCTGGGCCGAGCCTTGTTGGTGCCCCAGCAGCACCCAGATGGCAGGTCTACCCTGGCCTCTCCACAGGGCAGGTGGGTTTTAATCCTTGCCAGTTTGTTAGAAGAGAACGTTCTCATCTGATGTCTGATTTCTAGAAGGAAGCAGGTGGTGAAGAGCAGAGCTCTGGGGCAGGGGCTACTGACCTGACCCCCAGGCTTTGAGGATGTGAGACCTTGGGCACGGTGCTCAACCTCCTTGAGCCTCAGTTTCTTCGGGTGTGAAGTGGGATTGCCGATGGTGCTGAACCTGATTCCATGACTTCCTCCATGAAGCGGTGAGTGTGGGGCTCGCTCACCTGATTGCTAACGACTATCAGCTCTTGTCATGCGGAGTGTTCTTGGGGCAGACATTTGTTCACATGCGTGAAAGGTGGCCACGCCTCTCCCAGAGAAACTTGCAGCTCGCTTCAACTAAGTCAACCTGGAAAACGACAGAAAAATACCTTTAAAAAAGTACTTGGAAATTATACAGAAAAATACAGTTTACAGTCATGAGAAAAATCACACAGTCAAACTAAAATCAGCAAGCAGCCTGTCTTTTGGCACAGACAGATGGGCTTAGTTCTCACTTCTCCTTAGTTAACCATCGTGATCACACACCACCGCCAAGCACCAAATCCAGACCTTTCAGATTACTCTCTGCTGTGATGTTTTTGTTATTGTTGATGTTCAAATGGAACTCACATTTCAGGAAAAAGAAAACCTAAATAACCTGAGTCAAGGGAAAACATAAAAAAGGTTATAAAATACTTAAGCCTCGGTGATAATAAATCCTACTTCCAGAAGGTCTGGGTGCAGCTGAAGCCAAAAAGAAATGTTAGCCTTAAGTGCTTGAGTTACAATTAGCAGAAGAGCTGGAAATCAATAAGCTGAGTATCCAACTTTAAAAATTATAAAAAGAACAACAGAATAAACTCATAGTAGAACAGAGGGAACAATAAAGCACAGAAATACGTGAAGCTAATGGGAATGAATACTGCAGAGAGCATTAAAAAGGTCAAAGTTTGTTCTTTGAAAGGACCATTAAAATAGAAATTCTCTGGCAGTAGGATCAAGAAAACGAGAAGGAGCAAATAAACTCTTAGCTATGAGGAGGGGAGGGAGATGCAGATCCATCCAAGATTAAAAAGAAAAAATGCCGGTCCAGCCCAGTGGAATAGTGATTGAGTTCATGCAGTCCACTTCGGCAGCCTGGGGTTTGCAGGTTTGGATCCCAGGCACGGACCTACACACCGCTCATCAAGCCATGCTGTGGCAGCCTCCCACATACAAAACAGGAAGATTGGCACAGATGTTAGCTCAGGGATAATCTTCCTCAAGCAAAAAGAGGAAGATTGGCAACGGATGTTAGCTGAGGGCTAATCTTCCCAAAAAAATAAAATGCCAAGCCAATGAATGTGAACTCAGATGAAGTGGTCATTAGAAGGAAGAGGAGTGACGAGCCAAGTCAAAAAGAAACAGCCTGAAGAGTCCCCTCACTGTTGGACAGAGGGTACTCATAGTTTATGGCCTTCCCAGAAGCACGCAGGTCCACATGATGGACTGGTGAAGTCAAGAAAGAACAACTCTGCTCTTACAGGACTCAAAGACAGAAAGGGGACATGTGCCCACCTTATTCTTTTAGGCTATGTAAGTGTGAGATCAAAATTACAGCACAGTGTCACATACTCATCGATGCAAAAGTCCCACACAAAACACTAGCAAAGCTGGGGCTGAGGGTAGGGGCTTGACTGCAGAGGGAGCTCCGTCAGGTGGTTGAAATGCCCTCTCCATGTGGTGGCAGTTACATGGGTGCATGCATTCGTCAGGTTCATTGCCTTCTGTATTTAAAATGGGCACATTTTATTGTATGTAAATTAAACCTCAAAAAGTTGATTAAAGCATATGAATCAAAACAATACTAGCAAACCAAATCTAACAGCACACAAAGCGATAGCATAGCATGACCTGATCAGGTTTACTCCAGAGGGCAAATTTGGCTCAGCATTGATGCATGTTCTCACACTAACGGATTTAAGGGGGAGAGGAGCACCCTTTTATCATCTCAATAGCTGCAAAAGCTATTTCCTAAGTTCAACATCCATTCATGATTAGTACCTTTTCATAAATAAGGAATATGATAGAGTTTTCTAAACCTGATAAAGAATATCTACCAAAACCTATAGCAACATCATACCTCAGGGTTGAATGTTCACCAGCGTCCCATTGAAACCAAGAACAAGACAATGCCCACCATTGCTGCCCTACTCAGTGCCGGGCTGGGGGTTCCCGCCGGGGCGGGGAGACGAGGAAGAGCACAGGAATGTAAGATTAGAGTGGAACCCCTCACTGTCATCGTTGGCAGGTGATAGTATTGTCCATCGAGAAGTCTGAAAATAATCACAAACTATTGAAATCATTAAGGGTTTAGCAAGGTTGTCACCTAGAAGATCAATATGCAAAAGCCTGCTGAGGTATATATCCAGAAGAATTGAAAGCAGGAACTCAAACACGTCTTTATGTGAATGTTCATAGCAGCATAATTCACAATAGCCACTGGTGGGAACAAGCCAAGTGTTCATCAATAGACCAGATAAACAGGATGCTGTCCATCTGCACAGTAGAACACTGCTCTGTCGTAAAAGGAATGGGCACTGACGCTACAACGTGGATGAACCTGGGACGCGGTATGCTTAGTGAAGGGAGCCAGACAGAAGGATACATATACATGTTGTATGATTCCACTTAGGCGAGGGACCCAGGCTAGGCAAACATAGAGCAGAACAGAGGCTGCGGGGGGCTGGGGGCGGGGGGAGGGGAGTTTAATGAGAGCAGAGTTTTGTTGGGGATGATGAAAAGGTTTTGGGTATAGATAGTGGTGATGGGTACACAGCATTGTGAATATTTAATGCCACTGAGTTGCACACTTACAAAAAGCTTAAAATAATGTTTGTATATTTTACCACAATGGAAGAAGTCAATTGAATTTGATATGCTATTAACAAAATGCAATTTTAAAAAGCTGTCATCCATTTTAGCAACAAAAATGGCATTTTCTGTCAAATTGAAGATGTGCATACCTTGCCAACCCAGAAATTTCACTTATTAATAAACCTTAGAGAAACTTTGGTACATGCACCAAAAGAGACACGTACAGTAGTATTCATGGTGCCTGTGGAATGTCAGAAAAACTGGAAATAACCCAGAGGTGCCTCAACAGTGAAGTGAAGACCTCAGCACATGTGGCTCTCAGATGTAACCCTGCGCAGAGTCTGTCACGGGAGACAGTCTGATTTAGTTACTGTAAGTGCAGACCCAGAACGCTTGCCGGGTGGGGTGCAGACGGAGTAAAGCTGGAGAGAAAGGAGGAGGCCACAGCAGACTCGGGAGGGGCCCCGCGGCCGCCAGCACCCCACCAACAGAGGGCAGTGGGCATTGGATCCGCTGCAGTTTCATCGCATCTCATACACCCTCAGTTTATGTGTTTAATATACTTCCCAGCTTTCTTAAGATTTTAGAAGATAAGCACTTTCCTCACAATCCTGTTGCCATCCAGGTCTGGGGCCCCTCCCCTCCCCTCGCTCTGGGCCCGTGGCCACTGTCTCGGCAAGAACCAGCTTCCACGTGATCAAAGCCAGCCCGTCGCCTCACAGCGGGCTTTCTCCCCACAAAGGAGCAGGTAATAACTGCGCTGCTTTATTTATTCAAAAGGTGGTGCTCGTCCTTTTCAGATTTTGAGAGCAGATCACCCCCAAAGCAAGAAGTTCCTGAGGAAACGTGCATGAAAAGGAACCTCAGAACTATCAAGAAAGTTCCGCAGTCCTGAGCTCCGAGGAGGAGCAGAGGGCAAGAAGGATGAGAAGAGAAAGCCTCTGGGTAAGAAGAGACCTCATCCAGCACCCCTGTGCTGAGGGACAGGTGGGGACACGGACTGTGGGGGCTCTCGCTGCTGGACGGGCAGCCTGGCAGCGGCAAGTCCACTCTCAATGGAGATGCCTGCGCAGGGGGAGGAGAGGGAAGTGTTTCATCTGAGAGGGCCCACGAGATCAGTGACACCCCAAAAACTAGAAGTACCAACCGGGGTCTTGTGGTTCTCCAGCCTCTCCAGAGCTTCAGCAGTTCACAGTGGGAGCGCTCAGCTCCTCTCCAACCAGGCGTCCTAGGAATCCACTCCAGGTAGAAGCTCCCGCAGGCCATCAAGAACCTTCTCAGCGTTCAGAGAGTGTCCCCACAAAAACCTTCAGGGTGCCCTCCTCCCTGTTGAGCACCCGTCCTTATGTTCTTGTTGCAGGAAAACTGTGAAAGCATCCAGCACAGAAACGCCCCAGGGCACCTCGTCTGCCTGCCCAGGCTCCTCACCTGCTGCCTCATCCGGCATGGAGAGTGCTGGGCTGGCTCCAGGATGATGGCGCCAGGGCCGCAGAGAACCTTGAACAGCCCCAGGGACACCTGCAGATGTCCCAGGGCCGTGACATCAACTGTCCTTGACCGTGGCATTCTGTGAGCTGTGCCAGCATCTGTCCCTCCAGGTGTCATCCCGGGCGTGATCTGAGGGCAGCCGGGTCCCGGCGCTGGGGGAGAGCGGGCAGTGAAGGCCCACACAGCGGGTGGGGCTCTGCTTCCTCTCCCCGCAGGGCAAGGGGGCTGACTGGTGACTGGCCTCTGGTTGCCCTCGCCAGGCTCACTGCATTCCTAGGGAGGCTGTGGGCACAAGGTGTCACCTGGGCTCTATTTCTAGTGACCTGTCATGTCACCCCCAGTTTGGGCCCAAGATGTGATCATTTCTTTCCTCTACAAGCGAGCCAGACACCAAGATTCACTGCAGAGCAAGACAGGACTGGGGGCCGGGTCCCGCAGCCTCAGCACCAGGGAGGAAAGCCCTGGGCTCCCAGGTCGTGGCACTCGGCAGAAGCCCGTGGTGCTGGGGACTCTTGGACATTTGCTCTGGAGCAGGACAGAGAGAGGACGTAGTGAGGGCGGAGTTCTCAGGGAGCTGGGACAGAGGGGTGAAAGGGGTGTCTCTAAGGCCAGGGAAGCAGTGTTGGGATGGGACGGAACGGGCTGGGGCCCAGGGTGGGAGCAGCCATGAAGAAGATGGGATGCTCCGGGTCCACCACCCACCCAAGGGCAGGGCTCTGCTCTGAGCGGCAGCCTGTGCCTTCGAGGACCTCTCTGTGTGCCGAGCTCGGAGCTCACTGTCTCCTGGTTTCCTCCTCACAGACTCCAGCCGCCTCGTCAGCCAGTCACAGAGTGGCTGGTCCTCCCCTTGGCCAGAGCCCTGCCAGGTCCAGGCCTGGCCACAGGTGGAGTTGGCACTGCTGCCTGTGGTCACCTGCAGACTGTAGGCCTGGGCTTCCGAGGCCTGAGGACGGCGTCCTGGTGGGTGAGCACCCAGGGCTCCTCAGCCCCAGGGCACAGTTTGGTCTCGGCACTGGGAGTGCCCCAGTGTTGGTCACACTCACTGTGTCCCATGTCTTGCCTCGCATGCCCTGTGTCAGCCCTGTCACTGCAGCCTCACTGTGGCATCCTGGTCCTCTCTGTAGTGTCCGTGCCTCATGGTTTTACTGTGTGATGTTCCGGGCGAGCCTGAGCACTCAGCCCATTGGAACCCTCCTTACAGCCCCCGTGGGTCGCGGGCGCCCTGGGCGGGCAGCACTCTGGGCGCACAGCTGGTGGCCTTGGGCCGGCGGTGCAGACACTTTCCCTAGTCTAGAGCTTCCCACCGTCACTCTTACTCTTCAGAAATTTAACTTTCCAATGGGTGGAATTTGTTGAACTTCCACCTTATAGCATCTCGCTCCCTTCTATCCTCGGGGAGGAAGTACCCCACACTTGGGGCAGATGCTCTGTCTTGTTGGCTGCCAGTCTCTGTGGCGTTTTCTTAGTCCCACTGGGAGCTGCGCCAGCCCCACCTCACTCCCCGGCTGCCTCCCGCATTCTTCGCAGACGTGTCCTGTCCTGCGGCCTGCTGGTGTCTGTTTCCTCCTGTAATAAACATCTGTTCTGACCTGTTCCCCGTGTTCGTTGATCTCCCTGCAGTTTGGGGGTACAATCAGGGCTCCCCAGGGAGGCACCACTGCCTCCCAGCCCAGGGTCTGGCCCCGAGCTGCAGACCCAGACACCCCCGGTCACTGCCTCCAGGTGTGTCTCTTGCGGGCGGCCTCACATTAAGCAAACTCCTGAGAGACCAACATGTAAGTCAGAAAAGGAGTTTGCTCACTTAGCATGGGAGTGACTGCTGGCCATGGCAAAACACCTGTCCGTCGGTGGACACTACCTTTCCAGCCCTAGATACCTGGGAAACTAAGTTAGGGCCCGGCGGTGCTTGAGGCCCACCGTCGTGACCCCGGGGGCGTCTGGAAGGCCCCCTGCTGCGGCTTTGGACTGTCACCCTGGCGGGTCCTGAGTTCTGAAGAGCTCGGGTCTGTCCTGTCCTCTGTGCCCTTTGCCTTCGTTAGAGCAGCTGTTCTCACGAGGGGCAATTTGCATTGCCCCCCAGAAAGCGACGCTGGCAATGTCTGGGGACATTTTTGGTTGTCACCACTGGGGAGAGGTGCTACTAGTGTCTGGGGGGGGCTGGGCAGGGAAGCTGGTCAACGTCCTGCAGCGCGCAGGATGCCTGGCAGCAAAGGCCCGGCCAAGGGTGGGGTCCGAGTCGGACCTTCGAAGTCGGGTGAGGGCTACAGGGAAGGTCCCGGAAGCGTGCGCACTGTCGGCCGGGCTTCAGAAGCGGGAAACGGAGAAGCAGAAACCTACCCGCTTGAGACGCCCATCCAGCCCGAGGAGCCTGGCAGGGCCTGGGACGGGCTGGGTCCCCTGAGGGAGGGGCAGAGGTGGGCAGAAAACATGGGGACTGGCTAAGTCTCCGCAGGAGTAAGAGAACCCCCAGGTCTCCCCACCCTCACAGGAAATGAGGGCGCCCCCACACCCCGCCAAAACCAACCCAGCAAGGCAACATGGTGGCTGGGCCCGCGAGCATGAGGGGCAGACTGAAAGGGGCACTGGGGCATCCACTCTGGTGGAGAACACGTCCAGGACAGAACTGGGCTGTGTGTGCCTCCATCACAAGCCCTTCCCCTCCCCTGGCCATCTTCCCATCTCAGAAGGGGTGCCGCCGGCCACACCCTGGCCTAAGGCCCAAGTCGTCCGCCCACCCACATCCGGCCAGCAGCATGTGCTGGCAGTTCTGTCCCCAACATAGGCCCCCAACCTCCCCTCCATCTAACCTATCCCTCCCCTTGTCTCCTGCCTCCTCACAGCCCCAAACTGATCTTAAAATGTACATCCATCTCCTCACTCTCCTGCTCAGCACCTTCGTTGGCTCCTGGTGCACTTAGAATGAAATCCAGGCTCCTCCTCATGGCTTCAAGACTGCTTGCCCAGCTTGTTCCACTCCCTCTTGTTCCATGTTCCAGTTTGCCTGGTCCTCCTCTAAATCCTCTGTGATGCTCTTTCATGCCTCAGGACCTTTGCACATTCTCTTCCTTCTGCTTTGAATATTCTTACCTCCAGCCTTTTTCAGAGTATCTTGGCTTCCTCTCCTAACCCTCTCTCTCTCTCTCCCTCCCTCCCTCTCCTCTGATGTCTGCTCCTTAGAGATGCCCCACCCCCAGGTCCACTTTCTTTAAGCCCCCGTTGACTCCTTACAGTTCCCGTCATGTTGGTAGTTCGGGTGTGCTTGTGTGTGGTTGCTCTCTCCCACACACTCCATTGAGGCAGGGACCTGTCCTGTTCCCCACTGTACCCCAGCTCATGGCCCAGGGCCTGGCACTAGGCCAGGTAGGGTAGGGGGGAATTCTTACAGAGCCTACAGGGCTGGGACCCACAGTGAGCGAGGCTGGTGGAGCGGGCAGCTCCACTCTCCACCTTCAGTCTGTGGCAGGAGCCAGCTGCTCCAGGTGCAGGCCCCTTCTTCCAGCTCCAGGCTTGTTTCAGCCTCTTCTGCAGCTCCCATCCTGGTCTCAGCACCCACCAAGACGCCCTCCCCACACACTCACTTGGTCGTTCACATGTCCCTGTTCGTGCAGCCTCTCTCCTGCCTCACCACCCACCCTGGGGTCGGACGTCCCTCCTTCCCTGTCTAGATCCTCAGGCTTGGGGTCCCCTCCCTCTGTCCTGAGCACCCCTCCAGCTGGGGGCCCTGGCTGTGGCTCCTCCCTTGCTGTCTTCTAGGTGCCTGCCTGCCCAGGCTCAGGGGTAGCCACGGGCAAGCAACCCTACTGGACTGGTGCGTGAAATCCTCCCCCAGCTGTTTGTTTTTCCCAACAAGACGGAGAGGCACTTAATTTTCTCTTTTTCGGGTTGTAAGAACAGGGCTGAGAGATGCTGGATAACATCAGGAAATTCAGGAAGAAGAATTCCATGCAAAGGTTTTGGGAATATCTGTGACACTCCTCAGGCCCCAGATTTTAGGAAGACGTTTAGATGGCCAGTTTAGACGGGTAATCGAGACACCCCAGAAAAGGGAGAAAAGGAAGATCTCTTTCCAGCAGGTTCCCCAGCAAATGATGGCCGTCCGTAAGAAACATCCCGAAAAACACCATACTGAGAAGGATGTGGGCAAAATTTGCCCACCGATTTGACACCTACTGCCGACAGGACTCCAGAGGTAAAGCACCTGGCTGTGGCACCTTGTGTGTAAGATTTGGCTCTTACTCAGCAGCGAGGGTCCGCCCGACTGTACTGACAGAGAACCTAAGCCGTCCACACTGGAGCAGCCACGCGCAAGGGACGTCTCCAAGGCCTCTGCAGCCCGAGCGCCCACGGGTCTGGGGCCCCGCCCCAGCCCCCCCCCCGCCGCCGTCGGCCTCAGGCCCCGCCCAGCCCAGTCCCGAAAGCTTCAGGCCCCGCCCACCCCGCCCGGGAGACCTCAGGCCCCACCCCACCTTGCCCCGCCCCGCCGGCCTCAGGCCCCGCCCCACACGCCTCAGGCCCCGCCCAACCGGCCTCAAGCTCCGCCCCGTAAGCCTCAGGGCCCGCCCTCCCCGGCCCGGGAGACCTCAGGCCCCACCCCCCCTCGCCCCGCCCCGTCGGCCTCAGGCCCCGTCCCAGCTCCGCCCCGCCCAGCCCACCCCGTCGGCCTCAGGCCCCGCCCCTTTCCCGCCCCTGTCCCGCCCCATCAGCCTCAGGTTCCGCCCCGCCGGCCTCAGGCCCCGCCCCACAGGCCTCAGGCCCCGCCCAACCGGCCTCAAGCTCCGCCCCGTCAGCCTCAGGGCCCGCCCTCCCCGGCCCGGGAGACCTCAGGCCCCACCCCCCCTCGCCCCACCCCGTCGGCCTCAGGCCCCGCCCCTGTCCCACCCCTGTCCCGCCCCGTCAGCCTCAGGTTCCGCCCCGCCGGCCTCAGGCCCCGCCTCTCTCCAGGGCCCGCCCGAGGGCGCCGTCTGCTGAGAGCTCCGCCGGGTCCGGGCGGGGCCTGGGTCCTGCCTGCACATCGGACACTCTGGGGCGGCCGGTCCTCCCGGCGCCGCGCACACTGGGCCCCCAGCACCCTCGCTGCCGCCGAGCGTCTGACCGGCTGCCCTAGCAGCGTGGCCACCGAGGCGGCGGGCCTCCGGGTGCCCAGAGCGTTCCGGAAGTGTGTGTGGGCGGGTGGGCGTGGCGGAGCGCACTTCCGGCCGGCGCGAGGGCTGCCACCTCCCGCTCCGAAGGTGAGTGGGCGCCGGCCGGGGACTGCAGTGGTGGCTGCGGGGTCGGTGGCTGCTTCTGCGCCCGGCCCGGCCTCGCCCCGCTCCCGCGCGTCGTTCCTGCGGGCCTGGCCCCACCCCGGCCGCCTTGACCTTGGCCCCGGGCCCGGCCTTGGGGGCTCATGGGGGCGCCCGTCGCCCCAGAGCGCAAAGGAGGCCTCCGCGGGGCCGGCCGCAGCGGGCGTGCTGGCCCCTGGCGATCGCGGCTGTCCGTTTACGGGGCGCCTCCCCACGCGCCCGGAACCACAGGGACGCGCGCCATGATTATGCCCACTTTGTAGATGGGAAAGTGAGGCTCAGAGAGGTCCCTGGTCCGAGGTCCCGGGCCGGGGAGTGAGCGCCGTACCTCAGCCGGGCCAGGCTTGCTCCCTGCCGCCAAGCGCCCCGAGATCGGCCCTTTCCCGCGGGCTCAGGCTCCCAGCTGGGAAAAGAGGGGGCGGAGGAAGGTTTGCTCCTGGGCCGGTGGCATCTGTGTCCCCTCGCTTTCAGCCTGTTGCAGCAGCGTGGGTGTGGAACCTGCGGTCGGAGTTTGTGCTCGCGTCCTCAAGTGACCGTCGCCTCCGCTCAGCCAGCCAGGGTAGGGGTGAGCGTGCCCTTTCCCAGTAATTCCTCCACAGTTAGCCGAGTGACTAAAGATGTGGCTTGGGGGTTGAGGACGTACACTCAGATGTCACCACTGCAGCCCCACCCTGTGTCCACTCACCTGGCTGCCTGTGACCCTTCCCGGGGATGGGCACTAGAGGATTCCGACTAGCGGATGAGGTCTCCCCGGGGCACCCAGAAGGCCCAGGCACTGGTGAGGAGCCCTGTTGGGGCTGCCTCCCCACTTCCTTCAAGCAGGTGCCCTGCAGCCAGCGCTGAATGTGCATTAACTTTCGTTCTTCCCATGTCCTCTTTTTCAAGTAAGGAAGCCTATTTCATCACAGCTGGAGAGAAAAATTCTCACGTTGGACCAAGTCGTTCTTGCAAACCAAATTAAAGAAAAGTATCTTTGATCCCAAAGGAGGCTCAGAGCACCAAGGGTGGGCCGGGGTGTGGTGGGTTACAGCCTGCGGTGTCTGAGGGCTGCATGGGGTCTGAGGAAGAGGGTTTTTCTCTCAGGAAACAACTCGTCAAGATTTACTCTAGAACATTTAAGCTCCAGCAGGCAAGGTCCAGCTTTCCGCCCTCCTCCAGGGCCAGCCGCCCCCAGCTCTGGTGTGGGAGGTTTTCCTGGGCGAACAAGCAAGCATGCTTTTCTCTGGGCGAGTCCATGGCTCAGGAGGACATTCCAGGCCATTGCTGGCACAAGAGCTTCGGTTCGGTTCCTGCAGGTGTGCTGGTGCTATCCACATGGTGGAATAAACAAACCAGAGACCCGAATCACCTCGCCCCCAGGCCCCACTCACCTCGCCCCCAGGCCCTACGTTACTTCTTGGCATCCTCATGCCTCTCACCCAGTGAAGGAATCTCCAGCTGGCCTGTGGTCAACAGCGGGCGTTGCCCCCGCCCCCTCATCCCCCTCTGACCCCTTCATCCTGCCATGGTTTTCCTTTCCCTAGGTGTGCACACCTTCAGGCCTTGGGGAAGATGGCGGCCCCGGGGGACGGTCGGGAGTCCCCTCATGTCCCATCCCCTGTCAGTCTCGAGTCACCGGGGACACCTGGAGCCCACCATCACGAGGCACGGCTTCACCTCCACGGTCATCAACACGGTACTTACGCTGCTGCTGTGCTCCCGCCTCACTCCCTCCATCTCCCCGCACCGTCTGCCCCGGTGCCACCGACACCAACACTGACACCGACCCTGCGGGCAGAAAACGAGGCAGTTCCCTGGTGCTAGGGCGCCTGCAGCCTCAGGCTTGGGTCGGGACCTGGGCAGGAGTGGTTGAGGCTAAGGGCCGAGCCGTGTGAGCGAAGGCTCCCTCGGGGACAGTTCCGTGGGACTATCTTTCTTTGGTGGGGGGAGTCAGGGGTGAAAAGAAAAGCAGCCTCTGAGGCCAGGCCCTGCATGACAGGAGCAAGTCATCTCATCTCCGTTGCAGCCTTTGTTTCCAAACCAGGAAGGCAGCATCCGGAGTTCTGGGCAGGCTGGATTGGGTGGAGGCCCCCAGGGACCTGTAGGGTTGGAGTCCCTGGCCTTGTCCCACGCCCCTGGCAGAGTTGGGGTGTCGAGGTGTGGAAGTAGTGGACCAGTCAGGAGGATGTCCAAGCCCTGTGACACGTGGTGCCCCTGGGCTCTGGCTGCCCTGGTGCCACCAACACCAACACTGGCTGGGGGAGTCCCAGGGGTTCCATCCATGTCCCACATTCCACAGGAGGCCTGGTCTCACTCATCTCACAGCTAGAGACACAAATGAGCTGGTGACAGCCAGGACCAGGGCCCTGATGCGGTCTGTCCCACTCGGGGCGAGTCCCAGCAGCTTGCACCACTGTTCTGAAGAGTTGGCACTGAGCCCGGGCTGGGCCCACTCTGTGTCCAGGGTTCTTGCTCTTGGTGGGTCTTGGCATTGTGGTGAATGACGTGTTGACAGCTGAGATTCATCGAGCAGCAGCTATGCTGTATACCACACTCTTTGCCGAGGGCTCTCTGTGGATTATCTTGACGTCCAGGGACAGCCCTCCCAGGTGGGCATTGACAAATGAGGACAGTGAGACTCAGAGAGGTCAAGGGGGTAGCATGAGGTCACACAGCTTGGCAATGTGGGATTCACCCCAGGTCAACCCAGGACCTGGATGGGAACTCCTAGCCATGCCCAGTGCTGTGCCCAGTTCCAGGAACCCTCCTGACCCCCTGTGTGTCCCTGTGGTGGGTCAGGCTAGGACACGTGGGTAAGGAGCTGGGTGCTGCCTGAAAGGAGCCTAGAGCCCACCCAGCACATAAGCTGTGCAGGCTTTTGCTGGACCCGCTGCCTCTCCCTCCACGGTAGTTTCCAGGCCTTGCCCAGGGCTCCCAGCCTTGTGCACCCATGCTCTCCAACTGCTGTGTAGCCCAAGTTTTGAGGTCCACATTTCACATCCACTCTCTCATGTCACCCTCACAGCAATCTAGCAAGGTAGGGCCTCCTGTCGCCATGTTTCTGATGGGGACACGGCAGCCCAGACATGAGCCAGGGGAAGCCAGCAGGACTCAGACCACATCAGTCTGACTCAAGCCCACGCCCTCCACCCCACATTGGGCCCCAGCAAGCTGTGGCTCCTCCTCTTGGGGAGGTGGGCTTGGGACGGGGAGGGGCTGCCCTGGAGGATATGCCAACCCAGCTAGTCCAGCAGGATTACAGGGCTGCTGCCCAGGATGCAGGTCCCAGAGCCCATGTGGAGGGACTGCCCCTGACCTGATCTCTGCCAGCCATGGGCAGCAAGAGCCCAGAAGGCTGGGCTTGGGTCCCCTGAGCCACATCCAAGTGCCCTAAAGTGCCTGGGGCTTTCCCCATGGGAGGGAGCAGGCTGCAGCCAGCAACTTCAGCCCTCACTGTGCCATACCAGACACAGAGGTGGGGGTACCTTGTCTGCAAGGAAAACAACCAGGGTTGACCCTAAAGAAGAGAGATGTGAGGCCACCGGGCAGGCCCTTTTGCCTGGTACCAGCCAGGCCCTGGAGGGGGTGCCATGGAGGGTAGGGCTGGGGGGTGTGGTTGAGGAGAGGTGGCCGAGGTGTGATGGAGCCCAGGGAGGTCCACAGGTGGCCAGAGGCAGGAGAGGGGCTGCATTCATTCCCTCCTCGGGAAGACAGGCCCACATGGAGAGCTGGGCCCAGCGTCCGGCTGTTGCCGAGGGTGGAGACCACCCCCCGCAGTCTCTCGAGCTCATTTCCTCTGTGGATTGGTTCCTCGGTGCTCCAGGATGCACAGATGCTTCTCAGGAAAGACCCCAGCGCTTCAGGGACCTGCCAAGGGCCCTCCAGCTGGTGAGGCCAGGACTTCTGGAGCCCCAGCCCCCTGATTCCCAGGCCAGAGTCAGGTGATGGGCCAGAAAGAGCATTCTGGGGCTCCACCCTGAGGAGCTGGGGTCCCTGCTGCCCACTCCAGGCCCGGCTTTCAGCAGTCTCCCAAATCCACCTCGCACATGTGGTCATTTCGAGAACCAGTTTCTAAACCTCTGCAGCTGGGCACGGTGGTGGATGCCAGGGCTACGAGAGGGTTGGGAACACAGGGCGTCCTTCGAGGGTGAGCCCTTTGTTCTCTGGGAGGTGGGGGCAGGGTGGGCATGAAGCTGGGGCTGTGCAGCAAGCTCGAGGCCACCCCCAAGCCTCCGGCGCAGGAAGGTCAGGCGGGTGTGGTGCGGGCAGTGGGCAGAGCATGGTCCTCTCCTAGCACCCCCCGCCCCTCCCACAGACACACTTCTGGAGCCCAGGCTTCGCTGGACTGCCCAAGGGGCTCCTTGGGGACTGGTACCCCAAGGCTGCACCCACCAGACCCAGTGCTTCCAGAGAGTTCTGGAAGGTTTAGTCACAAATCCTGCAACAGGAGGGGCAGTCTGTGAGCAGAACAAGTGCTGGAGTAGGGCTGTGCTGGGGCCTGCAGCCTGAGGTGCGTGGGAGCGCGTGGCCAGGGCAGCGCCACCCCAGCACTGGGGGCAGTCTCCAGATGGGGCCTGAGACTGAGCTCGTGCCCACTGGCCATGCCCTGCCCCAGCTAGCTCCTCCCTATGTCCGGCCCAAGCATGCAATTCTGTGCCATTTGACAAACAAGGAAAGCTTCCAGCCAGGAGAGCACCCACTGCCCTCCCTCCAGAGGGCCAGCCCCAGCAGTGCAGCATCCCCCTGAGTCTGAGCCTGGTGCTTTGGCTGAAGTGGAACATGCCTGTCGCTGTTGCTGGTGAGGGCAGCCTTCCACATCCAGGCCTTGATGTGTCCCTGGGTAGGAAGCACCCAGCATGGGGGGACACAGCACTGAGCATCATGGAAGGGACTTCAGGACAGGACTACACGGGCAGGCCGTAGCAGGCGTCACCCTGTCCACCTGCCAGGCCCAGGGTCTTCTGAGATGGTGGTTGAGCAATGGGGGGGTCGTGAGGGTCGCAGCCGAGAGAGGTCCATGCTCCTAGGCCTGCCCCATGCTGGGGAGGGACTGGGAGAGCATTTGAAAGTCCCAGAGGTAGCTTTGGTTAGGACCCCAGCACATTCCAGCGCCACCAAGCTGCACCTTGGGGCCCCTCACTCAGGAAAGGGGTGTCACCTGGCTACACCCATCTCTTGAATGCCCCAGCCCTTCCTGGCTCTCAGCACTGGGAGCTCCAAGGAGTGGGCAGCATCCTGCAGGCAGCCAGGTGAGCCCTGGGCTGGATCCAAGAGGAGGGGGAGATGAGCCCCAACTCTACTGTCCCCCCCAGGGTCCCCCAGCTGCAGCCCCAAGGTGCGCTCTCAGCCACCACAGGAGGAGGAGCTGTCAGACCTAGATTTCCAAGATGTGGAGGAGGTCCAGATCGGCAGAGACGCCTGCTGGCCAGGTGAGTGAGCAGAACGCCATCTGGGGCAGCCCAGGAGCGCATATGCCTGTGGCTGCCGCATGCCTGGCTCTGGGCACCACCACTACCAGGACCCTGAGTGCTGCTTGTCCCTGGCTGTGAACTCACTTGTGTCCCCCACAGCCCCTCCCCCATTCAGTCCCAGTTTCATCACTGACACTTCCTGAGGCTCTGAGTGCAGCCCAGACCCCACAGCCACTTGCCTTTGGGGCTGCAACTCGGCACCACTGCCCCCCAGGCCAGCAGCCAAGGAGTCATCCTGGGCCCTGTTGTCCCCTGTATGCTGCCCTCGGCCTCTACTTGTCCCTTGAGTTGAGCTCTAGTCCCCATCCCCTTCTTGGCACCACCTCACAGGGGCTGCACTAATCCAGGCCCTCAACCCCCGTTGCTCCCCCGACCCTTGCCTCTCTCCCTCAGGAGAAGCCCTGGGGATGCCCCCTTGGGGTCTCCACCTCATGTGTGGTCGGCACTGCGCCCTTCGCCCCTCTCCTGGGATCTGGAAAGGTCTGAGGTCAGGTCCTGGGAAGTAGACCTTTCCTGCAGCAGTGACAGGAGGTCCCCGGGTGGGCAGGGGAGCTGCACCGAGAGGCTCTGCCACCTAGGCCTCGGCCAGTCCCTGGAGGAGCTCTGGAGGGGCGTGGGTCCTTGGAGAGGGGTGCAGCAGCAGCCTCCAGCAGCCCGCACCCTGGGGTCTAGGCAGCACCCTCTGGAGCAGGGGGGCTTGGCTGCTTCGCTCTGAATCTGAGTGTCAGGCCTTGTCCGCCCAGGTCTGCTCTGACCCTGGTCCCCAGCCACGTGGCACTCCCTGCTGGTTTTGTCACCTGGAATGGCAGAATAGAGACCTCATGGAGGGACGGACTGGTGGGTGGGTGGGTGCTATCTGCTTCTCCCATTTCTCATTTCAGATTCTGAGTCGGAGCCTGAGCAGGCTCTGCCATCTCCCAACTCACATGATCCTGAAGATGAGGTGGACCGGGACCGGGGGGCACTGAGGACCCTGCTGAGGAACCTTCCCCGTAGACCCACATGTGGGGACAGCTTTGGGCAGGAGTCCAGCTTGGAGCGCCCAGCAGGTCAGCCGCCAGGGGCCATGGCCTGCTCCCGGGAGAGGGGCACCTGGCGCATGACGCTCATGTCACAGGGAGCCTCTGAGACCGAGGGGGGCCCCGAGCGGGCCGCCGAGCTGGGGGGCAGCTTTGGCCGGGGCTCGGCCCTTGGGGCCCGACAGGGCGGCCCACGGGGTGGGAAGCCTCACAGGTGTGAGGCCTGCGGCAAGAGCTTCAAGTACAACTCGCTGCTGCTGAAGCACCAGCGCATCCACACGGGCGAGAAGCCCTACGCCTGCCACGAGTGTGGCAAGCGCTTCCGCGGCTGGTCGGGCTTCATCCAGCACCACCGCATCCACACCGGCGAGAAGCCCTACGAGTGCGGCCAGTGCGGGCGCGCCTTCAGCCACAGCTCGCACTTCACACAGCATCTGCGCATCCACAATGGCGAGAAGCCCTACAAGTGCGGCGAGTGCGGCCAGGCCTTCAGCCAGAGCTCCAACCTGGTGCGACACCAGCGGCTGCACACCGGCGAGAAGCCCTACGCCTGCAGCCAGTGCGGCAAGGCCTTCATCTGGAGCTCCGTGCTCATCGAGCACCAGCGCATCCACACAGGCGAGAAGCCCTATGAGTGCCCCGACTGCGGCAAGGCCTTCCGCGGCCGCTCCCACTTCTTCCGGCATCTGCGGACCCACACGGGCGAGAAGCCCTTTGCCTGCGGTGCCTGCGGCAAGGCCTTTGGCCAGAGCTCCCAGCTCATCCAGCACCAGAGGGTCCACTACCGGGAGTAGCAGGCCCAGGAGGCTGTGGTTGAGCCGGGAGGGGGCATGGATGTGGCCTTGGATCGAGGGGGTTCTAGAGGGAGGGCTCCTGCCTTCTCACCCTTCCTGCTGGCACCGCATGCCAAGGGTCCTGAATAAATTCTTTTTAATTGATGGAAATGGGAGCCACTCCTGCCTGGGCAAGGCCATGGGCTGCTTCCCATCCCTAAGGGCCTGTGTCAGGAGAAAAGCGACTAGCCTAACCCAGCACCCTATTTAGTCTCCTGGCCTCATGCGTGGTCAGTCCGAGCTCCCTGGGGCCTGAGGCCTAGGGGCGTCCTGACTTGCCTGGAGCCATAGCCAGGACGTGGTCAGGTGCCCCAAGATGGGTATTTCCAGATGCAGAGAGGCACACGGGAGGACAGGGCTGGCCCAGGCTGCCCCCTCTCGCCCTGGGCGTGGGATCACTGGTAATGGGCTCCCTCACCTACCTGGGAGAGTGCCTGCAGCAGGATCTCCGTGTGGCAAGCCCCCAGATCCATCCGGTGTGCCTGCTCACCCTGTCTCTGCACTTAGTGTAGGCTGCCTGTGGGAAGGGGCCCCTGACCATTGCCACTGCCCCTATGCCCACTGGCCCTCATAGCTGCCTCCAGCCCTGGGAAGGTGGGAGCTGGGTGTTCACCTCTTGACGTGTGGGCCACTACAGCCGCAGCTGGGTCACGGCTTTAGCGATCTTCAGATCTACCGGGGCTGTCCTGTAGCCCTGGGACTGCCAGGCCCTATGGTCCAGGCAAGAGCTTGGCTGGGTGTCAACAGGCATTCGCGTGCTCCCTGCCTGGCCCCTCCCCAGGCTGCAACTCCGAGCATCGCCGCCCCAGTTCCTCCGCTTGCGGCTGAGACCGGGTCCAGAGGGCCGGTGGTCGGGCTGCCTCGCCTCCCCAGGCCACACTCCCAGGGCCCCATGGCCACCAAGCCCTGTGGACTCCCGGCCCTGTGCCCCCATTCTGGGGGAAAGCCACTCCAGGGGAGAGGGCTGAAGGTGAGGCTGTCTCTAGCCGTCAGCTTCAGGAGTCAAGGCTCCTCCTCGAGTTGCTCTGTTGCGCCCCGGAATTCAGTCCTCTCGGCCTGAAAGACTAGGGAACTCCACCTTCTGCCTGCTCCTTTCTCCCCGTGATACCGCGCGGGTAACGAAGCTTGGGCCCTTCGCGGAGCGGCGGGGTCAGCCTGTGCTTCCAGAGTGTCGTCCTGCAGCCTTAGTGCAGAGGCTGGACCCAGATGCCCGCTCCGCGACCGGACCTAGCAAGCGGCCACTGAAAGCAGAGTCCGGCGGTCCTCCACGCTGCCCTAGACTGTCCGGGAAGTGGCCCACGAGCGCCAGGGCCAGGCGCACCTGCGGCCAGCGAGCGAGGACCCGACCGGGACTAAGGGGCGGGGCCTGCCTGGAGCAGGGAGGGGCCGACTGCAGCCGGGGAGGGGCCTGGGAGAAGTGGGCGGGGCCGACTGTAGCCCCGGCGGGTCGGGGTCTGGTGCCCCTCCGCCGAGCCGCCGGCCTGCGCACCCCGAAGGACCCCAGAGGAGGGGACGTGGAAGAGGCCGCCCATGGCTGCGCCTCCTCGGCCTGCCTGTAAACTCAGCAAGGTCGCTGTGTCTTCCCTTGTCCAGCAGGGCCCGCTGAGATGGGCTGACTGGCATCCGCGTTTCCACCAGTGTCTCTTCCCCAAGTTCGGGGCCCGGGGCTGGTTCTCGAGCGTCCCATCTGACCCCTCAGCGCTTCCCGGGAACGGAGCGCTGGGCAGGACCCGGACTCCTCAGGGGTGCCCGCCCGCGTTTATCAGCGTCGTTGAAGTGCACCTCCTCCATCTCGGTCCCTGGTCGCTCCCGGGACCGCGGGCGGCCGCGCGCCTCTCCCGAGCTCCTGCGCCGCCTCGCTCGCGCGCCCTCGTCTTGCTCCAGTTGCGCTCTGCGCGCCCTGGCCTGCTCAGGAGCCTCCGTCCCGCCTCCCTCCGACCCCACGTTATCACCCACCCCGCCGCCGCCGCTGTCATTCTTCCCGCCCGGCCCCGATCCTTGGCTTCGGCCTCTTGCTCGTCCCCGAAGTGACCAGGAATCGTCCCAAGGAGCCGGCGGTCTCCGGGAGCCCGGGTTCAGGGTCCTTCTGTCCTGATGGCAGCCCCCGCACTTACTCCCCTCACGGGGCCTGTTTCCTCCTCCGAACGCGGGGACGGCAGACTGCGGGCGCCGGCGCGGCTCTCGGCAGGACGGCGCTACACTCTTGCACACCGCCAGGCACACAGCAAGTCCCCGTAAGACGGGCTCCTGGAAAGGCTCTGTCGACAACCAGGGACAGGTCAGGGACCCTATACGCGGAGGGTCTCAGCAGACAGCCACCAGGGGCCAGGGCTGGCCACAGTGAATGTGAGGGACCACAGTGAGAGGCAGAAGGCCCCAGGAAAGGGGTCCGTGTGCTTCAGAGCCAGGAAGTGACCACTTGTGTCGGGGCAGTGTCTGCTTTTGGCCCCAAGAGGAAATGGAGGCCCTAGAGGGGCTCTGAAAGGAAGAAGGGTGGTCCTCTGAGGAGCTTTCTAGGGCCCGGACAAGGATTGGGGGCAGACTTGATCATCATCTTGGGCTCTGTGCAGGGCGTGGAGCGGGCTGCATGTGCCTGTGCATCAGTAAATAACCGACGAAAACGAGCCTAAGTGTGGAGACCTTTCAGTTGGATACAGGGGTTTTTATTTTTACATGAATTTAAGCAGCGTGGTGTAATGGTTAAGAAAATCGGCTTTGGAATTTAAAGCCCAACTCTGCACTTAACTGTAAGGTTGTATGAGTTATTAATCTCTCCGAATTTGTTTCCAATTAGAAAAAAGAGGTATTGGAGGACGGCCTGGTGGCACAGGGGTTAGGTTTGAGCACCCCGCTGTGGTGGCCTGGGGTTCACCTGTTCAGATCCTGGGTGCAGACCTGGCACCAGCCAAGCCACACTGCGGCAGCGACCCACATACAAAACACAGGAAGATGGGCACGGGTGTTAGCTCAGCGACAAGCTTCCTCACACACACACACACACACACACACACACACACACAAAGACATACTGGTCAGGGTTCTCCAGAGAAACAGAACCAATAGGAGATTAGAGATCTATCTATCTATCCTACTAACACCTAAGAATGGACTCCTGCTATCATGGAGGCTGAGAGGTCCCCGCATCTGCATTGGCCTGCTGGAGACCCAGGAGAGCCAAGGGTGCACTTCCAGTCTGAAAGCCAGCAGGCTTGAGACCCAAGAACAGCCAATGTTTCAGCTCACATCTGAAGGCAGAAAGAAACCGATGTCCCAGCTCAGCATTTCGCAGGAGTTCCCGCTTGGCCTTTTTGTTCTATTCAGTCAGCTGATTGGATGGGGCCCACCCACACTGGGGAGAGCAACCTGCTTTACTCAGTGTACTGATTCAAATATTAATCTCATTCAGAAACACCTTCACAGACACACCCAGAATAACATTTAACCAAATATCTGGGCCCCTGTGGGCCAGTAGAGTTGACACATCCAATCAATCCTCACAAGCAAGGAGAAGAATCGTACTTATGCTGTGGGGCTGGGCTAATTCCTCCTGCTACAGAGCTGCTCTCTCACCAGGACACAGGGCAGAGCTCAAAGCAGCCCCAGACCCACCTCCTTCTGTTTTAGCCACTCTAGGGGCAGGGGTTCTTCCTGGCCCCAGCACCTTGGAAACACCCCCAGGGAAGGGCTCTACTCGGTCCCACTGGGGGCTTGTGCCACTTGCAACCCACCCCTGGGCCAGAGGCTGTGACCAGGGAGATGAGCTCAGAGATTGCTGCTCAGCCCGAATCTTTTTGTTTTTTTTCTAAGGAAGATTCACCCTGAACTAACATCTGTGCCAGTCTTCCTCTGTTTCATATGTGGGTTGCTGCCACAGCATGGCTACCAACGAGTGCTGTAGGTCTGTGCCCAGGAACTGAACCAAGCTGCCAAAGCAGAACACCCCAAACTTAACCACTAGGCCACGGGGCCAGTCCCTCAGCCCGACTCTTTTGGTCATGCCCACAACTGGGTGCAGGGTGCTGGGATGGGCAGACAGAACCATGGGTGTCCTTTGCACAGGTTTTCAATACGACTGTCACCATGCACTTGTCTTTTTCAGTTGCTATGCAACACTCCATATTGGGCTACCTCAGTTTCCCCGAGGTTTCAGTCTTTGAGAGACTCTAGATTAACGATAGAGGTGGAAGCCAACACGTGGTCTGTAGACTTCATGAGCTGTGTGTCGCAGGCCCCTAAGCAGGTGGGCAGGCATCTCCCAGCATCCACCTCCAAGGATGTTCACTCTCTTTGTAGGCCAGCTCTGCCACTCACTTCTGTGCCATCTTGGGCAAGGTACATATCCTCTCTGAGTTCCACTGGTAAATTGGGGATAATGATTTTACATCCAGGGGTTTCTGTGAGCACTAGATGAGATCCTTGCCAGTCATAAGTTAAGTTGAGTTTGTAACCGGCTGGCCTACCATCCGGAAAATCATCACAGCCTCATCTGTGATAGTTCATGATTTATTCATTCTCGGCTCATTCATTCAGTAAAGCTTTCTTGAGCACCTGCTCTGTGTGGGTGTGTCTCCACCTAGGAGGCTGCGTTCCCCACAGCAGTCTCCTCTGACCTTGTCCTCAGGGTGCAGCACGGTGGCAGCCCTCCGCATCTGCAGCACGACTTGAGTCTCTGGGGCCACTCAACGGTACCAGTGGTCGGATCCCCCAGCTTTATCTCTTAAACCCAAGATTTGTGACTAAATCAGATCAGGCCCAACTTTTCCAACTGCACTAAGGAAAGCCAGGCAACCGGTTCTTCGCGGAGACCCCTCCAGAGGTGTGTCTCTGGGGGTCTCTGGGCTGGAGGAGGGGCCGGGCTGGACCCAGACCCTGCGGAGGGGTGTCTCTGGCCGGGGTCTCCGAGTTGGGCGCGATGAAGGTGGTCTAAGACGCCGGAAACACGGGAAGCAGTTCAGCAGCTGCGCAGAGAAGCTCCCCCGCCGGCTGGAGGGCGGCGCCCCACCGCCCCGGCACTGCGCGCGCCCGGAAGCAGCGAGGGCAACCCGGAAGCAAACCGGAAGGAGCGCGTCCCTCCCTCCCCCAGCCCCGCCCGCTCCCTCTCGCGCCTCTAG